TTAAGAGAATGAAGGTCATTAGTTTTTTGTGTCAGTAAAACAAGGGGAATTGTCTTACGAAAGCTGGTTATACCTATTTTGGAATTTTAAAAAATAGTTTCACGTGTAAAAAGTAGGAAACCAATGCCTCTTCTCTTTGCAGGTGACCACAGTTTACTTTTAAATGGTTACTAGATAATAGATAGGGAGACCTGGTGGCATAGTGCTTAAGGCATTTGGCTGCTAACCACAAGGCTGGTGGTTCAACCTGCCAACCACTCCTCGGAAGGAAGATTGTACAATCTACTTCCATAGAGATACAGCCTCAGAAACCTAAGGGAGGATTGCTGTGAGTCGAAGATAATAGATAACTTTTCCAAAGCACATATATAAAACGTTATCAAGAAAGGCACATCAAAACCTAAAACCCCATTGCCAAGTCAATTCCGACTCACAGTGATCCTACAGGACACCAGTAGAACCACCCCACAGGGTTTCCAAGGCTGTGGTCTTTACCAAAGCAAACTGCCACATCTTCCTTCTGTGAAGCTGGTAGTGGGTTCAAGCTACTGACCTTTTATTAACAGCTGAGCACTTAACCATTGTGCTTTCAGGGCTCCTGAGGGCACCTGAAGATAGTAAAGTCCTTCAGGAAGGACAGAAACTGCATCTAAATTGACAGATCAAACAAGGCATTCAAATGATTTTAACAAAGGAAGTCAGCATTTGATCACTTTTAATAAACAGCATTGCTAATGTTTGACAACCTCAAGGATATGATAGGAGAGACTATTGTTTTATTTCAAGGACATGAGAGGAGAAACTATTGTTTATTATCTTCGGTGCCAGAATTAGTGCTTAAGAAGGAGCTATTTGTGTAGATCACTATGTATCATCAAAGCTGGAATGCTAGCCCTCCATGCAAAAGGAAAGATGTAGTTGGGTTCACACAACCAAGATAGCAACAAGTAGTCCTTGTACCTGTTGTGAAGAGGCCTCCAAGAACTTGAAAATGAGAAAGTAGGTTAGGTAGCCCTTTAATAGTTAAACTGTGATATCAACATGTAATTGTCTGTCAGAACAAGTATATCAAAGTTTTTGGGAAAGAAACACAAGACAGCTTCTAGACCAGTGGGGCTATATTGGAATTGGACTAAACGTATAAGGATGTATCATGGAGACACCTTGGTCAGTCTTGGACCCCCACAGAAACGAAGTGTTATGCATGCAAAGACAAGCAGTTCCCATTCAGGTGCAATATAGTGTGTCCTAAACATACTTGAGAATCTGAGGATCCAGTTGCAAGGCGTCCATAGGGTACAGATGGCTGCAGGGGATTAAAGCCAACGAAGGTAGACACTTCAAGTTCCATTAGCAAGATCATATGTTGTTTTAAACAGATGCATCAAACTTTTCATAGTCTTGATACCATCAAATATTCAAAGACTCTCATTTTTCTTGTCATAATTTTATGCTCATTCAGTCGTCTAATTTATAGTAATAGCTCAGATTTGTTGAATACGTACAAGATACCAATCATTATTTTACAAACTTTGCATGTATTATTTAATCTACTCAAGGAGCCTGGAGATAGATACCCTTGTTACCTCCCTTGTACACAGAGACAGAGAGGCAGTAACTTGCCTAATGGCAGAACTGGGATCCAGATCCGAGCAGGTTACCTTTTATCTAGAACTACTGTGCCCACCAGCTGCTCCTCAGAAGGAAGGTTGGGCAATCTATTTCCATAGTGAACTTGATGGCACATAACAACAACAATAACTATGCTATACTGCCTTGGCTTCTCATGTAGATCTCCATTATGGGGAGAGAGCACATTAATCATATATTCTTTTTTTTTTTTTTAATTTTTAGTTTTTTCCTTTTTTAATCTTTGCCATTCCCTCCCCTCCCCTCCCACCCCTGGTAGCCAACAAAGAAAGTTTCCTTCCATAATCACATACTCTTTTTGGTATGTTTTATCCTATGAAGGGGATTTCTTAAAAGGTAGTTATTAAAGTGGCTTCTGGTAATGATCTGACAGAGGTGTCCTAAACCTAGAATGGAGGGACCTTATAAAGGTCCTATCCTGTAAGGGTTTTGTGGCCAGCTCTTGGCCTCCTTTTGACTCATGTTTCCCAGTTATCTTTTGGCTGCATCAGAACAACCTGAGAGGCCTTTGTAAAAGTCGAACCCTGGTCCTAACCTCCCAGAGATTCTGATTTAATTGATCTGCAATGGGCCCTGGCAGTCTGTACTTTAAAGAATGCCTTTGGTGATTGTGTTGCCCACCCAAACTTGAGAACCACTACTGTAGATGGCACAATGACCATTTCTCGATTAAGTTGTACAGAAACCTAGTTGAAAGCTAAGAAATGTTCAAAGTAAGGAATACCTTAGGCACAAGTTTAATGTTTATGATGAGCTGAATACAGAGATCAGTTAAAGATATGAAATCTTGATTCCAGGTAGCAAATATGAATGACTTCAAGATGCATTGCGTAGTGGTTTGGACTTTAGGCTGCATGGCCCAGGGCTGGATGCCATCTCTGCCACCAGCTGGGTAGCTGTGGCCAGCCTGCTCAGGCTTCTCAGTACTGCAGTCCTCATTTGGCAAAGAAGGCTGGTAACGATCCACATAATAACCTATATAAAGCCCTGAGCCTGAAGCCTGGTTATTTGGATGTTGTCATGTGCTGCCATGTGGATTCCAACTCAGAGAGCCCCTGTAGGACAGCATAGAACTGTCCGTAGGATTTCCTACGTTGTGACTTTCCTGGGAGCAGATTGCCAGGCCTTTTCTCCCACAGAGCTGTTGGTGAATTCAAACTACCAACCTTTCAGTTCGCAGCCAAGCGCCTAACCTTTATGCCATCAGGGCTTGTTTGGTAATTGGTTGTGCTCAGTACACGTTAGCTGTTGTTGTTATTTGTTTTTCTGACTGGGGGTGCCTCTGGTAAGCCTGCCTCCCTTTCTGACCAAGGGATTTCTTTGGGCTGCAGAAGCACCTGTGAAGTGGCTGAAGACCCTAGTTGAACCCCATACATAGACTAACCATGGATTGGGATCTTTTTACATCATTCTTGGACCAGGTGATTATCTAGCACAAAACCTGAGCAATTAGAGAACTGGGCATGGAACCCTGAAGATGTTTTTAAAATGTGCTTTACAGCTGGTATAGACTTCAAATTATAAACCAGAATCAAAGATAAGTTTTGTAGGATGAGAGGTTTTCTGAAGCATCTAAACAAAGCAAATCTTCATTGTACTTTTTTTCAGTTTCCCTGAACTTTTGATCTGGGTTTCCTCAGTACTAATGTATGTGATTATAAGGTTGTACTTTATTGGACAGATTTTAAAAGCCATGTGGAAGATGTATTTTCTAGAAATTTTTTAAAAAAACTAACAGGTTACTTAAGAGGACTGTTTTGTGCAGATTATTCAGTTTGAGTAAAAGGAGATCTAATTCTACATGTAAACATATTTAAGGCTTCTCCAATTAAGGGACAACCCAAACAAAACCAAACTCACTGCCATCGAGTTGATTCCGACTCACAGCAACCCCCGTTGGGTTTCTGAGGCAGTAAATCTTTATGGAAGTAGATTGCCCCACCTTCCTTCCGTGGAGTGGCTGGTGACTGAACTGCCAACCTGCTGGCTAGCAGTTAAATGCCTTACGCACTGTGCTACGAGAGCTCTTTAATTAAGGGATAAGTCATTATTTTTCTGTATATTATACCTACTGCTGTTGATCCCAGTTTGTAGCAAAGCCACTCTGTAGGACAGAGTAGAACTGCCCCATAGGATTTCCAAGGCTGTAAATCTTTACAGAAGCAGACTGTCACGTCTTTCTCCCTCCTGTGGAGCAGTTAGTAGATTTGAACCACTGACCTTTCAGTTAGTAGCAGAGCAGTTAATCACTGCACCACCTGTAGAAATGAATAGACCTATAGAAACAAAATTCAAGTAGAACTCATCACATAAAGCAGTACAGTGTGCTGGATAAGAGCATGGTCTCTGGTTTTAGGCAAATTGCTTAAGTTCTTTCCTTGTTTGTAAGAGACCTAATTATAGTACCTAATAAATAGAACTGTAGTGGAGATTATATTATGTTGAATTAAATATATATTGAAGCATTTAGGACGGTGCCTGGTAACATCTACCACCTGATCTGATCATCTGCCACCTGATCCTCTGAACAAAAAGAGAAAGAAAACTAAAGTAGAAATATTTTATTGTTCTGTATCTTAAATTTTTCTTATTCTAAAACTATCTGAAAAAAATTTTGTAATTAAAAACTATTTTGGGCCTTAGCCTCTACTGGGCATGAGGTGGGCAGAGAGGTCCACAAATCATTTTCTGTTAAGTCTGTTTAGAATCTTTGTTTAAAATCTTAATTATCCCTGTCAGTTTCTCCTTCATTTTTCATTTACCTGCCTTTCTACCAATTTGGTACCACCACCCATACATACGCTGTGCTCCATGGAATCATGACACCTGTGAGCACAAACTCCTCATCCTCTGCCAAGCCAGAAGTGCCATTGCACCTCCCAGGTGTTCCCAGGAGCACCCTACCAATAAAAGTAATCCAAACACGTTGAAAACTGCTGAAATTTTATCAAGAACTACTTATGCTTCATTCAAATAAGTTGTCATCACGAGAAGTAAATGAAGACAAAAGTTGTTACTTTTCTCTCTCCTACTTCTTTCAGTGGGAAACACCTAATGTTTTATGTAAAGGCACCAGCTTTTACATAAGTAGTGCCAATAAATTATTTGATTTGTGAATATATTTAAGAAAACTAATAAGCAGTGTAGTGTATACTTTTTATATTGTGGTGTTAGGCTTTCATTTCAGCTGGGTTTTATTACAGTGCTGGAATTTTAAAGTTTTAAGTTTAATTAAACATAGTATTCTACTTGCAGTAGGTCATTTTTAATGACTATTTCTAGTACTTTAGTTTAAATTTAGGTAACAGTTCAAATGATGCATTTTAACATGGTCTCTTCTTTCTTTTTAGTCTGCAAGACTTGTATTGTCCAGCACTTTGAAGATAGCAATGATTGTCCAAGATGTGGCAACCAAGTTCATGAGACAAATCCATTAGAAATGTTGAGGTAAATAAATGCATTTTATAATTCAGATAACTTAAAGAAATTTTATAGGCTCTTATTATTTTAATTTATAATTGTTTTAATTTTCTTTATTTTTATATTTTATTTCTTTTAAGATAAATTTTGGCTCTTAATTTTTATTATACATCATATTTGTTGGTATCTTGATTCACTTAACATAGGGCTTATGAATTTTATAAATTTCATTTTAAAGCATTTTATTAAACATATTTTAATATATAAACAACTAAGATATTATTAAAATTAATTTTTACATCAAACATGTCATAACACTTCTGTTAATATGGATACTAGAAAATTTAAAATTGTGTATTTGACTTGCATTCTATTTCTCTTGGAGGTCAAGGTCACTGATCTAGATGATAGGAAGAGGATGGAGGGAATCATTCTTTCAACAGATATTTACTAAATGCCTGCTACTTCAGGCACCATTCTAGGTCTTTCACAGCCACTAGTGGAAAAAGCCAATAGAGATCTTTGCTCATATAGAGCTAGTATTCTTGTGAGGAGAGATAGACAGTAAACCTTGTAATAAATTTTGTAGTATGTTACAAAATGAAAAGAGCAAAGAGGAAAAAGCAAAGTGACTGGGATGAGGAGTGTGAAGATAAGGACAGATAGTGATTTTAAATAAAGTGATGAGATAGGGCTCTTTGAGAAAGTGAAGTGTGAGCAAAGATGTGGTGATGTGAGGGCGTTAGTCATGTGTGATTCTGGAGAAAGCATGCATGTCTCAGGTAAAGGGAGCAGCCAGTGGACAGGAGTGCACCTCAGACGTTCTTGAGGAAGAGTTGGGAGACCAGCCCTAAGGAACAATGAGGTAGGAGCAAGTAGTGGGTGATGGTATCAGGGAGGTAGTGGGGGTGCAGATTATGAGGAGCCTTGTAAGCCACTATAAAAACGTATTCTTTCATGCCAAGTGAAATTGGGAGCCATTGCAGGATTTTGGTTTAAAGAATTAACATGATCTGACTTAGTTTCAAAAGATCATTTTGGGAACTGTTGAGTATACACTGCATATAGCAGGACAAGGGTAGAGGCGGGAATAGCAGCTAGAAGGCAATTCAGTGATTCAGGTTAAGAGATTGTAGCAGTACAAAGGGCTAGATATTGTCATATTCTGCATATATCTTGAAAGTAGACCCAACAAGATTTGCTGATGAATTGAGTGTCGGATGTGAGTTAAAGGAAAAAGTCAATCAATCACTGTAAGTTTTTGACCTGAGCAGCTGGAAGAGTGGAGCTGTCATTAACTGAAATAGGGAAGGTTAGGATAGAACAGATTTGTGGAGGGGGGGCGTAGAGCAGGAGCTTGGTTGGGACGTGTTGATTATGAGATGTCTGTTCATCATTTCAGAGCAGAGAGAACGTTAGGAGGAGGTGAATATACAAATGTAGGCTTCAGAGGGAGAGGTCCGGGCTGGAGAGAAACGGTGATAGTCTTCAGCGTATGTTGTCATTACTGTTGGTTGTCACTGAGTCAGCTCTAGCCCATGGGCCCCCATGTCAGTAGAACAAAGTGTTGTCCAGTCTTGCACCATCTTTACAGTTGTTGATATGCTCAGGTCCACTGTTATAGCCGTTGTGTATTTTGAGTTAGCCTTCTGACCTGAAGGTTCATCTTCTAGCACTAGATCAAAAAGTATTCTATTGTGATCCGTAGAGTTTTCACTGGCTAAGTTTTAGAAGTGGATTGCCAGGCCTTTCTTCCCAGTCTGTCTTAATCTGGATGCTCCACTGAACTCTGTCCACCATGGGTGACCCTGCTGGTATTTCACATAGCATGGCACGACTTCTAGCATCACAGAAACTCTAAAGCTACCACAGTACGACAAACTGAAACGTGGTGGCTTTAGCATTAGAAGATATTTAAATCTGTGAGTCAGGATGAGATCACTAAGGAAGTGAGTACAGAGATAAAAGACTAGAGGACAAGGATTGACCCCTGGAGTGAGCCAATAGTAAGTGATCAGGGAGAAGAGGAAGAAACAGCAAAGGAAACTGAGAAGTTGGACCAATGAGGTAGGAGGAAAGTCCGGTGGAGTGTGGTGCCCTGGAAGCCAGATGAAGATAAGTGTATCAAAAAAGGAGGACGTGTTCAACTGTGTCAGATGTGGTTCATGGGTCAAGTAAGGCAAAGCCTGAGAGTTGATGGTTGGAATTAGCAACATGGAGATAACTGACCCTGATGGCAGAGCACTTTGAGTAGCTCTGTGAAGCAAAACCTTATTGAATTGTTTCAAGAATGAAAGGTGGAAAAAGAATTAGAAACAGTGAGTATAGACACCTCTTTCTAGTTTTGCTACAAATGGAAGCAGTGAAATGGGACAGTAGCTGTCAAAGAAAGGGTGGTCCAGAAAGTTCTTTTGTTTTGATTTGAATGGGGAGAATAATAATATGTTGGAAAGGAATGATCCTGTAGAAAGCAAAAAAGTTAATAATGTAGAAGGGTGGTGGTGAAGGGATCGGTGGAGCAACATTCTTGAGAAGGTGAGAGAGAACAGAATCTAATAGTGCTTATGAGAAGAGATTGGTTTTACATAGGAGCATCTGTAGTAACAGGCAAGATCCATGGATACAGAAATGGAGAGATGGTACTGAGTCAGGGGAATAGGCGAGTGAGACATTGAGAAGGAGCTGTCAGTGGAGCCTGGTGAGGAAATGTATGAGTCAAGAGAAGTCAGGATAGCATTTTCAGCCTGTTTGGAAGAGCTGTGGTATCATTTAGAACTTTAACTTAAAAAAAGTGAAATGATGAGAGAGGCATTCAGTATTTTGTTGAAAGAGGGTAAATGAGACAGTGACATAGATGAACAAAAAGAAGTGCTTGAGATGTTCAGCATCTGTTGGAAATAAGAAACTTGAGCTCAGCAGAGGGATGGAATATAGATCTAGACCCAAGGCATCTGCTTATTTGTTAGTGATAACATACAGATTTGTAAAGTCACAACGTGAATGAGAGCTCCAAAAAAGAAAGTGTGTGGAAAAGGCCAAGGGGTGAGGAGTACATAGCGTTGGAGAATATTCGTATTTAGAAGTGGTTGGAAAGAGGTGCATGGGGTTGAAGAAAACAGAAAAAGAAGACATCGGGAAAGGAAAGTTTCAAGGAGGAGGTGACAGGGAACACTGCCGACCTACTGCAGAGCAATATAGGAGAGATAATTTTTTAAAAAGTTCTTAAAAAGCAACTTTAAAAATCTATTCAATATGGAAGTTAAGGATGATGTTGAGAGTTCAGGAGAGTAAAAGAAACAATACATGACAGAAATAATGTCAGTGATACTTGTAGGATTTTTCCAGTTGGAAGAAAAGAATGAGAAATATCTTGAGGTAGCAATGGGTTAAAGAGTTCTGGGGGTTTTAAGTGTGAGAAAAGGATATGTTTGTTGTCAGACAAGAGTACTACTGCTGAGCAGGGTGGAAGGACGCAGCAGATGAGAGAAAAGGGTGCTACGGAGCCAGACAATGTAACTGAAGGCAGGAGCGGACTAACCACGAAAAGGAAGAGTTATACTCTAATAGAGCAGGAGAAGAAAACAAGAAAAAAGTTGAGATAAATACTTAATTTTTTCCCTCAGAAACAGAATGACTCCATGTGGGTCTGAATTTCTCCGAGAGGAATGGAGGTCACTTGCTTTATAGAAAAGAGCCAGAGTTGTGATAGAGATGTTAAGAGAGGCTGGGTCAGTTAGCTAGTGATGCATAACACACCACAGGTAGTCCCTACCTCAGACAGGGTTCCATTCCAGTGGCTCCATCTTAAGTCAGTTATGGCGTAAGTTGATGCCTCTTATTTTTTTTTTAAGTTTTCATTATTATCAGTATCTGTATAAATCCAGTCTTTGTCTTTGGGGATTGCAAAACATTACATGTAAACATTTGTGAGTGAACATCTGAGAACAACATCAGCAAATGATGTGCAAAACTGTATGCCATACATAATATTGTCGGTAAGACATACAGAAAACCAAACAGACGGTCCTAAGTGCGGGTCGTCTTAACAAATACTTTGTAAGTTGGGAACTATCTGTACTTCTAAATGTGATGCTTGAAACAATAAGCATTTATTATTCCTCACAATTCTATGTGTTAGCTAAGTGGTTCTTGTGGTCTTGATTGGATTCATCCATGCAGTGAGCTGTCGCCCAGGTAGGCAGCTCCCCTGATCTCGGTGGGTCTCTCACATACTGAGGGTGGGCTGTCCATGGCTGAGGTGGCCTCAGCAGGGCAGCTGGACTCTCCTCTCCATGGTGTCTCATCCTCCTCGCTTGGTGGCTTCTCAGAGCAGCAAGGTTTTGAGAGAGGAGTGAGCAAGCATGTACACATGTGCATGGAAGTATGTAGTGCCTCTTCATACTTAGGTTCAGAACTAGCACTAAGCACACTGTCACTTCTGCCATATTCTGTTGGCCTAAGCCAGTTTTAAGGCCAGTTCTTGAAATTCCACCTCTTTATGGGAGGGATTTTAAAGTCATATTGCAAAGGGTGTGGCTATGGGGAAAGGTAGGAACTGGAGTCATCAATCAAGGGTATGGATATAGGGAGAGACAGGAATTGAGTAACCAATATACCACTGTGGGGAAGGCTAGAAAGAGGTTTGTCCCAGGTGCAGAGGAGTTTGATTTAGTAGAGGGGCTAAAATTGTGAATGTCCTATATTTTATAGTCCATGTGAGATATAGACCTCAAACTATTTACATGTTGAATCTTGATTATCTTCGTTGTTAGTATATCCTCTTTTTTTTCTTTGAAAGGTTGGATAATACATTAGAAGAAATTATATTTAAGCTGGTTCCTGGACTACGAGAACGTAAGTTGCTTTTTAAATTCTTAGTGATTTTCTTATTTTATGAAATCAACATTTCTCTTAAAGATTTCATGATTGTTTCTCTGATTTTTTTTTTTTCCTTTTAAATTAGAAGAACTTGAGCGTGAATCTGAATTTTGGAAGAAAAATAAGCCTCAAGAAAATGGACAAGGTGACTTTTTCTTATGTCTATATCTGAAAGCAGAAACAATAATCTAGACGCGTCTCTCATCTTGGGGCTTTGTAGCTTTGGTGAACTAGCACCAGGCTGACATTTCTGCTGCACAGAAGTTACACACCCCTTTATTTATGTTAGAAACCTTTCTCTCTTCCTGAGATTTTTATGTAGGTTTTATATAGCTCTGGAGGGAGCTCTGGTGGCACAGCAGTTGAGCGCTGTGCTGCTAACCAGTAAGTTAGTAGCCACTTACTGGCTCTGGGGAAGAGACCTGACAGTCCCCTCCCATGAAGGTTACAGCCTGGAAAACCCTCTGGGGTAGTTCTCTCACATGGGGTCACTATGAGTCAAAATGGACTCTGTGCCCAACAACAACAGGTAGATTGAGACTCACTCCACTTGAGGGTAGTTGGAAATAGAAGAAATCGGGCTTCGGGAAAGGGAAAAGGAGCTAAAACAGAAAACTGACTAGCTGATTACAGCAATGTTTCCTGGAGAGCTCAAGGAAGCTGAAGTGAAAAACACCCATTGCAACTTAGCTTGCAACTAAACACTGAGGGGGTTCTGTTTGGTTTGACTTATTTTATATCATATATTTGTCTTAATAGAAGAGGGAACTGAGAAGTGGCTGTACTCTGACACTGTGGAATGACATGTTCATAGGTGGCACTAGGACAACAGGAACTTACGTATTCTGAAGGTTTGAAAAATACATCTGGGTGCTTATGAGAATTTTCTCCATCACCTATGCTAAGTATCCAAATTCCTCTTCTGGATCCCAGGAGACTCGAGAATCATTAATAATTTCAGCCAAGGGGCAAACAACTGAACTTTATTATCCACACAAAGGAAAAAAAAAAAAAAGAAGTACAGCATATCCGAAATGAAAAGGAAGTAGTGCCCTTTCCCATTGTTATCTTAATATGATAATTAATGCCATGGAAATTTCTTAAGAACATATATGTGTGTGCGTGCATAGGCTCACATGTGGGGTCAATCTCCCAGCCCTAGTTTCCCATAAGATCATAGGATAGTCAGTGATACATCATTAAGGTGGATGAGAAAATGTTGTCTTTTTTTTTCTCATCTGTAAAATGAGGATCAAGGTTTTACTAATTCAGGGCTCTGTTCTCATAGCAGGGGAGACTTGAGAATAATTTTGAATGACTGGAATAAGGTGTATTTAACAAAATAGCCAAAGAAGCTAAGCCTGACTGAAAAAAAGTGACTTAAGGACTTTTTGTTTTTTTAATCCAAGTGCGTATTGCAATTTCAACAGTAGTGCTCTAGTAATAGTATAGATAGTATAAGGGTAGTTAACTGTTCAAGAGGGCAGGCCCAGGGGATCATCAGCAGAAGTTTTTTATGTAGGTTTAGTCTGTGAACCCGTATCTATTTTGTGATAGATTGACTTGTGAAAGGGCTGCAGCCACTCTGAATTTTATGTAAGCTATTTTGGCAATACAGTATTTGAGAATATTTGGTCTTTAGTTTTGGTGGAGAATTTGGGTCTCTCCCTGGAGCTCCTGTCTATGTGGGTTCTGTATGAATATGTAGAAAGAGAACCTGCCTTCCTGTACATAATGTACAGCTTGATGTGTGTACAACTGTAATGCAGAAGAGCTGACCTTTTTTTTCTAGATGTTTCTGTTCTGTAAGACATGGCTAGCTAATTCTGACAGCTTTCAGCCCAGAGGTACTTCATCTTGGAAATCTTCCCTGACTCTACTTCACCCCAAAGTTAGGGTTTATCACCTCTCCTGTATGTGCCCACATACTCCGTTTTACCTCTGCCATCAGAGTCCTTGTCATACTTCTGAATTTGTCTTGTTTACCTGCCTGTATCTCCTCCTACCATGAGCACTGTGAGGGTGGGGCACACGAGCACCCTGGGTACAGTGTTCTACCCTCAGGTCCTGTCACAGTGCGTGTCTAACATACGGTGAAGGGCACCCAATAAATAAACGGATATAGTTTTTACATGGACCTTTTATGTAGACTTCAGGTATTTAATAGGTTAAGTGTATTTGTATAAAATGTAAAGTTGGTCATTCAGATTTCCTTAATGGAATTTCTATACATGTTAATGGAGAGAAAGAGAGCTAATTCATTCTACTCATTTTACTAGCTGATTTTATTAATGTCTATTAATTTGAAATTTTGAGAACTTGAAAGAAAATATTTTGTAGTTTGAAAGGTGAGCACTTGGCTTCTGATTGGAAGACATATAGAATTTTAATATATTCTTATATACTGTCTGCGTTCTAAAGTGGTCTAATCACTCATTGCTATCACAGTATCATTTTTGTGACCAAATATAGCTAGTATTGACTCTGTATTTGGATACTCCATTGAGCCTAGAAATTATAGGCTGTGTTAATAAGTCATTGATGGGTTTTTAAAAAATACTTCCAATGTTTATTGAGTTGGTTGGAACATTTAAAAAGTTATTAAAAGTTTTAGTTACTCTTCAAAAATTCAAATGGAGTTTTGTTTTGATGATTGATGTTTTGTGGCTTGACTTTAAGATCAACTTTGAGTTCTATCTAACTGAGTTTTGCTTACATTATATAGATGATACTTCAAAAGTTGACAAGCCTAAAGTAGATGAAGAAGGTGATGAAAATCAAGATGATAAAGACTATCACCGAAGTGACCCACAAATTGCTATATGTCTAGATTGTTTACGTAATAATGGACAATCAGGGGACAATGTAGTAAAGGTGAGTGGGCATGTACAGTTGTGTTTTTTAATGATCATTTTGTAGTAAATGCTAAATAATTTGTTGAATTTCTTAAATGGTGTGGCTCTTCAAGATACTTTTTCAAAGATTTTATTAACATAATGAACTAAAATGAGATTTGGTGCCATTCTCTGATACCTCAATAAACATTTAACTCAAAAAGTCTTATACCTACAAATAGCCCTTCCTTTGCTTACTCCACACACTCTTCTCCCCAAACTAGTTTCTACAACTGAACCATCTTGGGCCAATGGCACCACCTAGTGGCTAATGCGTAGAATCACTACTATTTGTCCTCTGCTAACCAGAAGGCTGGCAGTTCAAACCCATCAGCCACTCCTGGGAAGGAAAGGTGGGTAATCTACTTCCGTAGTGATACTGCCTCCGAAACCCAAGGAGGGGCCGACTTGACGGCACATAACAACAAACAACAACAACCTCCTTTAAACCTTTGGTGGGAATTTGTATACATTGTTTTTCCCTTTTTAAGCATTGCAACAAGCTCAGACATAGATGATTTCGTGTTAGGCAATGTTTATAATCCTTTATTTGCCCTACTCTGATAATATTTTCTTTTATTCCTTTTATTTAATTTTATTTCATTATTCTCAGTGGGAGAACTGCGTATCTCTTCATAAATAAACTCAAAAAGCTATCCATGTCACAGCCAGTATATTCTAAGCATAATATAATCAATTGGTTTTGAAGTGAAATTGGATGTCATAAGTGCTTGTGAACTTTTAAGTCCTTGAAGTCTTTTAGATAGTCTCTGGAATCTCCATTTCTAATCCTTCCCACTGCCATCGAGTTGATTCCAACCCCATAGAACACGTAGAGTTTCCAAGACTTTAGGGAAGCAAACTGCCACATCTTTCTCTCACATAGTGCCTGGTGGGTTTGAACCACTGACCTTTTGGTTAGTAGCAAAAAAGCTTTAAACCGCTGCACCACCAGGGCTTTTTCTTCAAGTATCTTTATACTAGAGAACTTAAAACATCATACTCAACTTTTATTGCTTTTATTTAGTCTTTAACTCGTGCTATTTAAATAACGTTCTCTGCTTTTTGTGTTGCAAGCAGTTTTTTCTAATTATAAATGTTCACTGTTTTAGCTCTTAATAGACTTTGTCAGTTTATTCTACCAAATGACAGTCATTGACAGTATTGTTTCTCTTTGTATCCCATGTCTTATTCATATGCCTGTATTCAATATCTTACTTTTCTTTTACTTCCTCTGCGTAATATGCTAGTGTATGCTAGTGGGTTGAATTATTTTACTACTACATTTAATTGCATTTTTCAATCAGGAAGTGAAAAATAATTTTTTTAAACTCTAAAGTTTTCCTAGCATCTTGAAACAACAGCAGTTCAATGGATAATTACCCACTGTGTGGACATTAAGCAGTGAACATATAAATAGAAAAAATTCTATCCCACAAGAACTTGGTTAGGTCTTATATATCCAAGCAAACAGTTATAATTCTATAAGTTAATTGATTTAGTTAAAAAGGGTGGGTTGGGCAAGGCATGTAATTAAATGCAGCCATCGTTGGAGAAGTGGTTAGTGTGCGTATTTATCCTTGTAGGCATCTGTGTTGTTTTTTATGTACTGGTGCCCCACCCTTTCCTCTTTGCAAATCTTTTAAGATTTTTCTAACTCTCCATTTCTTTCTTACAGCCAATCATTTTTGTAATCCCTCTCTTGAGGTTCTTCTTCATAGCTCTCTAACACATTAGTTGTTATCTCCTGTTGTTGTTATGTGCTGTCGAGTCGGACCCAACTCATAGCTACCCCTCCTTGGGTTTCTGAGGCAGTATCACTACGGAAGTAGATTGCCCCATCTTCCTTCCAAGGAGTGTCTGGTGGGTTTGAACCGCCAGCCTTCTGGTTAGCAGTCAAATGCCTCAGGCACTATGCTACCAGAGCTCCCTGTTATCTCCTAGTTAAAGTTAAAACAGTGGGAGGACTGAGTATCTCTTCATAAATAAATATGCCATCTACTTCTCTGCAGGATTTCTCTTATTAGGGGAGTTACAAAGCATTGGAATTTCAGAAATGCACCTGAACATTAACCACCCCTCAGTGATACTCCTCTCATAATGACATCTTGGCACTTTGCCATCCCAGTTGACCTTTTAGCCATTGAATCACTCTTTTCTTTATAGACTGTTCTTCATCCTTCTACCTCTCATTCTTCAAACAACTTTCTTAGTATGTCACTTCCACTATGCTATCCTGATTCTTTCTTGTAGGCCACTCCTGCTTTGTCTCTGCTGACTCTACCTCTTCCTGCCTTTTACTGCATGGATGTGAATATATCCTAATACCCAGTCCTCCACTCAGATCTTCCTTCTCTGTACTCATTCTGTTCTAGGAGATCTCTTCCATTTCTGTAGCTTCAACTATGCAAATGACCCTTAAATTCTCATTTCCAGCCCTACCATGTCTCCCAAGTTGCAGTATTATATCTCTAGGTACTTTTAAATATCCTGATTGGGAGTTTTACTATCACCTGAAACTTACATGTGTAAAGGCAAGTTCATTACATTTTCACCTAAACTAGTTTTCCCTCCACACTTTACAATTTCAGTTACCACTACTGTCTTTGAACAAATTATGCAAGTTCAAAACCTTGGAGTCGTCTTTCCCTTCAGTTCATAGCAATTAACCCCTACAGATTTCCCTGCAGTTTAGTGCTGCTTACCATGTATCCAGATTTTTTAAAAGTAATCACTTCAATGTTGTTTGTACCCCTAATTTCTCTCTTATTATCCAGGGCTAAGGCTAGAGCCCAAGTGTTGGCAAGGTAAAAGGCAAAGTCTGAGGTCATGGTCAATGTCAGAGTCAGATAGGCTCTGTGGGCCATATGGTCTTTAGTGAAACTGTACTCATTCATTGTAGCACTATAGTAGCCATAGAGGGTAGTAAACCAGTGGGCATGGTTGTGTTCCAGTAAAACTTTATTTTTAAAAAAAAAGGCTTCCAGATTTGGCCCCAAGGGCCATGGTCATAGTTTGCTGACCTCTGGCCTATAGGATCGTCTTAACTCCTTACTTTAGCATTCAAGGCTCTTCATGAACTACCCTCTACCTTGACAGGTTTATCTCCCATTAAACTTGTCATTGACATATGATTATTGCAGCACATGTGATGTGTGTGTGGGTATATCTGGCAAAAAAATTTGTATCCAGAATATATAAACAGTTGTTACAACTCAACAACAAAAAGGCAACCCAATTTAAAAATAGACATGGGATTTGAATAGACATTTCTCAAATAAATAAATACACACACGCGCATACACACAAAATTGGCCAATAATCATTTGAAAAAGTGCTCAATATCTTTAATCATGTTGTTGTTGTTGTTGTTGTTGTTATGTGCCATCGAGTCAGACTCGACTCATAGCAACCCCTCCTTGGGTTTCTGAGGCAGCAACACTACGGAAGTAAATTGCCCAACCTTCCTTCCGAGGAGTGCCTGGTGGGTTTGAACCACTAGCCTTCTGGTTAGAAGTCAAGTGCCTTTAGGCACTGTGCTACAGAGCTCCCTCTTTACTCATGAGGGATATGCAAATCAAAACCACAGTGACATTAGCACTCCACATCCACTGAAATTGCTCTAATCAAAAAACTGGAAAGTAACATATCTTAGCGAGAATCTGGAGAAATTGGTGGTAGGAATGTCAAATGGCCATTGTGGAAAACAGTTTAATGGTTTCTCAAAAACTTAACTGTAGAGTTACCATATGATCCAGCAATTCCACTTCTAGATATATTACCCAAGAGAACTGAAAACATATGTTTGCACAAAACCTTGCACATGCATGTTCATAGCAGTATTATTCATAATGGCCAGAAACCAGAAACAACCCAACTTCCCATCAACAAATTAATGGATAGATAAAAAGTGATATATCCTTACAGTGGAATATTATTCAGCCATAAAAAAGAGTGAAGTGTACTGATACATGAGAAAATATCAATGAACCTTGAAAGCATTATGCTAAATGAAAGAATCCAGACACAAGAGGTCACATAGTGCATGATTCCATTTATATTCAATGTCCAGAACAGGCACATCTACAGACAAAAAGTAGTAGATTAGTGGTTGCCAGGGATGGAGAGGAAGATGGAATGGGAAGTCCTTGCTAATGAGTATGGAGTTTCTTGTGGGAGTGATAAAAATGTTCTGGAATTAGATAGTAGTGATGGTTATTGTACAACCCTGTTAAAATATTCAAACCTACGAATTTTGCATTTTAAATGGTAATTTTATGGTATGCAAATTGTATCTCGGAAGAAAAGAAAAAAAGTCAAGCTTGATAAATTCTTCGGCTGATGGAGATACCTTCATACCATTCTGAAGACAAGATAAAATTGTAAGGATTTGGGTTTTTTTTTTTAAAAAAAAAAGTAACAACAACAACCAAAGCTTCAGCAATCTTTATCAGAAGGACTAGAATTTGTTGAATTGCATCCTAGAAGAACAGAAAACCAAACCTACTGCCATCCAGTTGGCTTTGACTCTTAGCAACCATAAAAGACAGAGTAGAACTGCCCCATAGGGTTTCCAAGGCTGGAAGTCTTCAGGAAAGCATACTACCACATCTTTATCCCACAGAGTAGCTGGTAGGTTCAAACTGCCGACCTTCTGGTTAGCAGTCAGACACCTTAACCAGGAGGCTCGTCTAACTTGTGATACTACCTGATTTCAGTGCTAGCTTTTCAACACGTTTGTCTTAGTCTGGAAGCACCACTGAAACCTGTCCACCACGGGTGACCCTGCTGGCGCGTGGGCTACCAGTGGCATATGTTCCAGCATCTTAGCAACACACAGCCGCCATAGGATGACAAACTGGCGGGCGAGTGGTGGTCTTAAACAAATGGATGAACAAAATAAGTAAATGAAGGGTAAACATGTCTCTGATGTAGTCAGCTTGGAAGCAGAAAGGAGCCTTTTTTTGAATCTTTTCTGGTCTGAGCTGAAAAGTGGAACAGGCAGAAAGCAAGGGAACTGAGCCATAGAAAGGAAGGGCCAGATTCTCGACACATAAAAACCTAGTCTTCGTTTTCCATGTAATATTTCTTTACATATTTCAAGATACGGACCATGATCCCTTGGAGGCAAATCCTTTCAGCATGCAGCAGCAGGAATGAAATAGGGATGTGCCTGAAACACTGATTCTCAGACAGCTGGGTAAGGCCTGGGCTGGACATCTGCTCCCTGGATCGCTGCCTCCCTTTGCCCTCAGCGTAGAGAACACATGCTTCCATTTCCACGCATGTTACAAAATGGAAACAGTGGGGAACTTCTTAAGGGTCATCTCCGTAAGGTTTTCTGCACCATCCTTATCACCTTCTATTGCGCATTCTTAATTGTCACTGCCCCTTTTTAAAATGTGTCATTTAACCTTTTGGAGACCTGTATAGCAATTCCCAGGTGTATCTGAGCTAGGAAACAGAACAAGGTTAATTTGGTGAAATGAAAAAGTATTTCTAGAGAGAGAGTGCATAATCATTGTATTTTTATTTTTTAAGTACTCACAAATCAACTCCTAGACAATCCTTTCTGGAATTCTTTTACATATCGGAATCAAGTTTGACAGAATTACAAATTCCAGAAACAAGCTCTTCTCTAGTTTTAAAAAATTATCTCTTAACTTTTCTAACATTTCTATAATTATTCATGATTTCTTAAGGATTATGAGTAACGATGCCAAGGACATTTCTGCAGTTGTTTTGGCAGCGCTAGATTTCCTCTGCAGATGAGAATGCTCTTAAGGATCTTCCAGCACCCTAATGTTATCCTTTCCCATCACTGGAACCTGTGAGATGTGCTGGCGATTCTTCACAAGCTATGTTTGGGGCAATCAGATAGATAGAAACTTGGGAAAGATGAGATGATGTCAGCAAGTGACACAGAAAGACTGACTTGTCCATTTGTTTTTCTGCTCTCAGCCTAGGATACAGTTTCCCATTTGAAATAGTAGAGTATGTTTGCTTTAGATTAATTTTTACCTTTCATTTTGTTTGTGTTGACACTTTCCCATCTTAGGTGTGACCATGTGTCATTTGCAGATTTGTTTCTGTTGATTTTGCTAGGAAATACATTACTGACACTGACTAGATAGTTCTATGACTTAGTAAACAACATTTCCAGAGTGTTGGCCCAATTTTCTACACATACAAAATAGGAGTAACACTTTATATCTTTAAAGGATTAATTAAATGCTGGGTTTTTGGAATTTTTTACATATGCAGATCACCTTTATGGTTGTGGAATCTAATTTTTGTTCCACAGATTGGTTCATGTTTATTATGTCCACAACTTCATTTTGACTCGTTTTTAGTTTGGATGTCCATTCTGTGTCAATTCTTACATTGTAGTGATGTTTGGATTTAGAAAGTAAATTAGTTACTACTCTCCAAATTTTACAAATGAGAAAACTGAAGAAAACTCACAGCCATTGAGTCAATTCTAACTCATAGCAACCTTCGTTGGGTTTCCAAGGCAATAAATCTTTATGGAAGTAAATTGTCCCATCTTCCTTCCTCAGAGTGGCTAGTGGGTTTGAACTACAAGCCTTCTGGTTAGCAGTCAAATTCCTTAGGCACTGTGCTACCAGAGCTTCTTAAATGAGAATAAACTAAGCATACAGAATTTTGCGTTTTTATAGTAAATCACTGTTACAGCCCGTCAGACCCTGACTGGACTTGATTCTCTCTAACCAAGGGTCTGTATAATGTACCTTTCAGTTGGTGGGGCATATTGTAGCCCAGCTGTCCCCTCTATTTTGAATCATGGGACTCCTCAGAGTCACATGTGAAATCACTGTTCTTTTTAACATTCTTTGGAAGTTACGAAGTTATGTTTTATAAAATGATCAGAATGCTTTCAGAAATGACATTATCTAATACAGTATTTTATATGCTTTTATGGCCTCTCTTTTATTATTTTCACTTAAACTTACAATGTGTTCTTTACCTAAAAGTCTAGAGGGATGCACATGTTTTTGTGTTTGCCAGAATTTTCCTGATACACAACATAATACATTCTTAAAGAATGTTGTGCAGGTATCCAAGAACTAGAAACGTTTTTACCCACAAGCACTAAAGAGCTCTAAGTTGAAACCTTTCCAGAGTATATTGTGAAATTACTCTGATGATGGAAATTATATCTGTGATTTCATAAAAAGAAAGGTAGAATATTTTACTTATTATCTTTCTTTTACTTTAGGGTTTAATGAAGAAATTCATCCGATGTTCTACACGTGTAACTGTGGGAACTATTAAAAAATTTCTAAGTTTAAAGCTAAAACTTCCAAGTTCATATGAGGTAAGTTAAATAATATTTGATCTTGAGTATCTTGATAATTCTGATCATAAGTAAAATACTAATGACAGAAGAGAAAATAATTGAGAGTACATTTAAATTCATTTTTGTAGAAACTTAGATTATTTTAATATTAAAATTTAACTTTTCAGAATATAATAATCTATTGATATAAAAAAAACATGATCCTGATGCATTTGGTGTTTTACAGTTAGAGGAGATACTTAAAGAAGTTAACATTAAGTATTCCCAAAATAAATGTACTAGCTACGTGGATCTTTTCTTTTATGCCAGTGTGCTTTAGGATGTAGCCATTTTTTTCCCTGAGACTCTTGAGTTCATTATGACCAAATCTTTTTAGATTTTTTTATTCACAATGTAAAAAATTGCCTGTTATCAAGAGATTTTATAAATGCTATAGTTTCATAATGTATAAAAGTGATATTATTTAGCACTAAGTAAAACTGACAATTGGCATCTGCATAAATGCAATTTAGTCGTTTCTTTCTAGCAGAGAGAATGTCCCTGATGTTGATGAAAACACAGCTCGTATTGTGTTCAATGTTTAGGGAATGTTTATAATCCTGAGGGCATGGCTGTAACATAGTACAGAAATGTGGTTTCTGTTTTTCAGCTGCCCAAACAGCAGTCTTCATTCTCCCCTTTAGGTTTTGATAGTATCATCTAGATAACAAAAGACCAGTTTATATAGCTTACCATATAAACCAAGACATCAAAGGCAGCGTTGTTTTTCTGGTTTATCTGTAGGTAATATCATGAGGAGAAATATAAGAAATAAAATGTGATAGGATTTGACCAGACACTGACAGGTGTTAAGTCTGTATTTCTAGGGGACATCTGATTCTGAACTTAAGTAAAAATTGCTCTCATGTGAAATAATATATGCATTAAAAATTAATTTTATTTTGGACTTCCGGTAAGATGGAGGAATAGGCAGACAAGCGACACAGACCCTCTTCAACAAAGAAAAGAAAAACCAATTGACAGAGATACAGAAGATAATCCTGGAGCCCTGAACTTTGAAAGGAAGTATACAGAAGTGAATTAGGCACCAACTAGTGGAAAAACCTGACCGAAAACAGTGAGTACAGAGGTGGTTGGAGCTGCAGACTGTCAGCTACTCTGACGGGACTAACAGCCTGAATATTTCCAAGTGGTGTTGGGACCTGAGAATTGACCTAAAGATTAGCCCTGGTCACCAAGGGCTCAGGGACGACTGCACTGGTGGCCTGTGATTAGGAAGGGAAACAGCAAGGAGGGAGACAACCTGAGCTATGGACTTTCTGCTGACCAGAGGGTGCAGCCATTTTGATTGTTTACATGCAACAGCCATTTTGGATATTTAAAGTGACCAAGGGTGCAGCCATTTTGAATGTTTACAAGCGGTGGCCCTTTTAGATATTTAACGTGACTGAGGGCACAGCCATTTAGAATCTTTACAAGTGGCAACCATTTTGGATTTTAAAGTGACAGCATTCTCATTCGGATTCCAGGGACCTAAGAACAGGCTTTGTTTGCCAAGGTCAGCAGGGTCATACGAGAGGCTGACAACAGGAAAGGAGACAGGTGGTGAGTGTAAGTGCTGTCAACTAGCAAATAGAGGAGCACAGTACCCTGCTCGCATAGATAACATACAAGGAAAACAAAAATCATGGGGAAGTCACTCCAACATAAAATCACCAATTAAATATAAACACAAAAACATCACAATGTCTTGGAGACAACAGAGCATCACAGTCCACACAAAGAAGCAAGATAAAGCAGGAGAAACAAGGGACCAGGTTACAGACCCAAAACACATCCCTGAGGAAGACGCAGCATTGGAACTCCCTGATTAAGGAATTCAAAAGAATTATATTTAGGTATCTTCAATGAATTGAGAGACAAACCAAGGAAAAGACAGAGAAAACCCTAGAACAATTTCTAAAGACAATACAAGAGCAAAATGACAAAATAAGTGAAAAATTAGAAATGATTCAAAACCTACACATAGAGATCCAGAAGATTAATACTAAATTTTCAGAGATACATAAGACATTGAATGGGCAAAGGAGCAGAATTGAATCAATAGAAGACAGAATTAGGGAGACTGGAGACAAATACCTGAACATTTCTTTAGAAAGGGATAAATCAGAAAAAAGATCAAAGCAAAATGAAGAAAGCCTAAGGTTCATGTGGGATACCATCAAAAGGAATAATCTACATGTAATCAGAATTCCAGAACAGGAAGAGACGAATAAAACCACAGAGAAAATTGTCGAAAATTTGTTGGAAGAGAATTTTCCTGTATGATGCAAGATGAGAATCTATCCATTCAGGAAGTCCAACAAATCCCAAACAGGATAGACCCCAAAAGAAAATCACCCAGACATATCATCATCAAACTTACCAAAACCAAAGACAAAGGAAGAATCATGAGAGCAGCATGGGAAAAAGGAAAAGTTACCTACAAGGGGCAACCAATAAGACTAAGCTCGGATTTCTCTGCAGAAACCATGCAGGCGAGAAGACAATGGGATGGTATATATAAAACACTGAAAGAGAAAAATTTCCAACCAAGAATTATGTACCCAGCAAAACTGTCACTCAAATATGATGGTGAAATTAGGACATTTCCAGATAAGCAGAATTTAAGGGAATTAGTTAAAATCAAGCTTACAAGAGATGCTAAAGGGAGCCCTTTGGACAGAGAAGCAACAACAGCCAACAACAACTGACCGTTAACATCCATGATGATATAACCCAGAAACCAGCCCAGCTATGGAAGTATCCAAAGTAAATAAGCCTACAAGATTGTAAACAGGGAACCAAAGACATCAATTGATAAATGAGGACAACTACAAACCAAAAAGGGGGAAAAAACTGTGTCATTACAGAACTTCTAGATGGTAGGAAAGTCAAGACAACTACAAGATAGAACAGAGTGTTGTAAACTTGGGAAGAAAACTATAAATCACAGGGTAACCTCAAAGAAAAATGATAAACCTTCACATCAAAAAAGAGGACCAGCATAAATATTCAGCAAATACTAAAACAATAGCAATGAAGGAAGTGATAACACGACTCATAAAACAAGTTAAGCATAGAAAATTGTATGGAACAAAGAACTCGCCACCACGAATAAGAACATAACATAAATGACAGCAACAAATTCATATTTGCCAATAATTACATATCTGACAAGGGCCTTATCTCTAAGATTTATAGCGGAAGAGTGGATGACCAAACTATGGTACATACACATAATGGAATGCTATGCAGCACTGAAGAATAACGTAGAGTCTGCAAAACACTGCATAATATAGATGAACTTGGAGGACATTATGCTTAGTGACATAAATCAATCACAGAAGGACAAATAAAGTATTAGTTGGTTGTTGTGGAGGGTCAGGAAAGGTTTATATATGGAGGGAAAACTGTTGGTTGCCAGGGGTGGGAGGGGAGGGGAGGGGAGGGAACACTGGGAAAAAAAAAAAAAAAATGCATTGACCCATGTCACTTTAGTTTTGTGTATTTCACTGTACATAAATTATACTTCAATAAAATACATTGAAAAAATAATTTTATTTTGGTTTGGACCTACAAATACAAAAGAATTCCAGAAAATAAGGATTTAAAAATTTTGTTTTGTTATTGTGGTAAGAATGTGTGTAACAAAACGTTTGCCAAGTCATCAATTTCTGTAAGTGTAACTCAGTGACATTAATTGCATTCATCATAATGTGTAACCTTTAGCACTATCCCTTTCCAGAATAGATTGCCCAGTTTTCCTTCTCCAGAGTGGCTGGTGGGTTTGAACTGCCAGCCTTCTGGTTACTAGTCAGATGCCTTAGGCACTGAACCACCAGAGCTCCTTTTTGGAGTTTGGTTTATTAACAGTAACTCAGTGTCGCCAGAGCAGTGGCTCCCCTTTCTCTTTCCCTCCAACTCCTAGTACCCACTAATAAACTTTAGTCACTATTTGCCCGTTTCATGTAAGTGGGATCATACAGTATTTGTCCTTTTATGACTGACTGACTTCACTCAGCATGATGATTTCAAGGTTCATCCATATTGTAGCATGTGTCAGGACTTCATTTCTCATTCTGACTGAGTAATATTCCATTGTGTGTGTGTACCACATTTTGTTTACCCATTGATCTGTTGATAAACATTTAGTTTCTTTCCACCTTTCGATTTTTGTGAATAGTGAATATTGATGTACAAGTGAAGTTTTATCTTAGGAAAAAAATAAGAATTAAATGTCAAAGCTCTATGCATTAATAAAAGTAAAGGATAGTAGTAATTTGTAATTATAACTACAGTGGAAAATTAAAAAGTAAAAAATAAAAAATTTAGGTTGGTTTTGCACTTTATTCTCTTTTTGCAAAATACTGTGTGTGCAGATTCATATCATTAAGTCTGGCTCGTTGAGTTCCCATTCTCCAGTGTGCAGAAAGTTGGTACAGCTGAGACCAGTATTACTCTTGTGCAGTCTTACTGCTGTATTGTTTTTTTTTTTGTGTAAAAATATGGAAAGGGAGGAGAGTCCTGCTTACAGCTCTAATATATTTCTTTATAGAAAAAAGATGGAAGGGAAAGAGATTCATTCCACTGCTAGCTCCTTGTCTATCCCAGTGTATCATCTTCCCATAACTTTCAGGGATACATATTGTCCCTCCCTTATTTTATGTCCAGCATGTAGGGGATGAATTAGTGAAATACCTGGCAGCTTGTAAAAGCCTTGCCCTTTGGGACAGAATAAACTCAGTTTCCCTGATTAGTGATGGCATCATAAATCTCTTTACTTCTTTGTTTATGAATTTATTTTTGTAGGCAAGGTAGAAGAAAAGAATTATCTACTTTGTTCTTCTAAGAGTTAAACCTTTTGAGGTTCATACTAGTCACCATAAAGCATCAAAAAAAAAAAATCAGTATACTTTGTTTAGTATGTCTAACACAATTGGAACTATGTTCATTTTAGGCTTATAGTTCAAAATTCTAGTCTCTATCTTGCCAGACACAGAATTATTTAAAATCCTTTCTTCTTCCTCCTCTCCACACTTTAAATTCTGTCAGTTTGCTTTTAAAAGCTAGAGTACTAAAATGTTACTTTTATTTATTGGAGTCCATGATAAACATTTTTAAATTACACCTTGTTTAACTAGTGAGTCATAATCACAGTTCCTGTGGGCTTCTTTAAGGGTTGTGGAGTTGTTTGGTCCTGCAGCTTTAAAGCAAAAGTAAGCTTTGTTAAGCACAAACCTTTTTCGAAATTTGGTAAGAATGAGAAGAGGATCCTATCAGTATTGTGCAAATTACCACCAAACAAACCAGAGAGGCCAAGTAACCCTAGGAGACACAGGCCTGTAGGGTCAGCAGTTCAAACCCATCACCTACATAGAGAAACATGTGGCAATCTGCTTCTCTAAAGATTTACAGCCTTGAAACTCTGTGGGGCAGTTCTACTCTGTCCTATAGCATCACGATGAGTCAGAATCGACTTGACAGCGGTGGAATAGGTCATTACAGCAAATTCATGCTCTTGTTAGATTGTAAGGAGTCAGAACTTACTTGACTTTGATTGCAGGAAATTTCGTATGCCTCTAAAGCCCCATAAATCACCATGCCCACATGCATTCATTGACCCTACTCAATCCAAAATAATGGGAAGAAAGCAACCCCTTCAAATATTAGGAAGATAACAGGATTCTGAGAGATGAATTCACAAGCCAAAGGAGGTTTTGTGAGTTTTCTACTTTTTTTCTCATTCAAAAAGGGGCTGTCAAAGAAAAATGTCTGAAACCTCTAAAGTTAGAGTTTACATTGAATTTCAAAATTACGTGTATGAACTTGAGGATACAGTCATGTGAGACAAGATGAACAGAGCTTCATGATATCTACACTTGAATGGTTAAAACTTCATTTAATGAAAATTGTTCAAGCAGTGTTCTTTTTAAATGATAGATGATATTTCTGTTTTAAGTATTTGAATCTGTTTTGAAATTTGAAAAATGTAAGACATGTATGAATTCAAAATTACTTATGTTAATGACTTTGTAACTATTCTTTTTAAAGTTGGATGTGCTGTGCAATGGTGAAATTATGGGGAAGGATCATACTATGGAATTCATCTATATGACAAGATGGCGACTAAGAGGCGAAAACGTAAATTGCTTTTTTTTACTTATGTGTATTTTTAGCTATATACATTATGTTACTCCAATTTAACAGTATAACTTAGAAATTAAAAAACATGCTAGCTTGAGAAAGAGAAGAAACTGGTTCCTCCTCATTGTTTCTTCCAGCTACTCTGTAAGAATTAGTCCCAAGTGAAAGACCAAGGTCTGTGTTAAATGTGTGTTGTTGGTTTTTTTATACTTAAGGTGACTTAAAAGCCCCATCTGAAATATGTTCAAGACTGTTAATCTCAAAACAGAAGAGACAGAACTTACTTTTAAAAAAATACAAAACAATAAAATAAGGGAACTTGCAAGTGATGGAGTAGAAGTGGAAAGACTGAGTCCCACCCTGACCATGTGTCATGGTTGGTGAGAGCAGTGCTTTTCAGATGTGGTAGAGAGGACAGATACAGTCTAAGTAATCTTTTTTTCCAGGTACCCCCTTTACATAAAATTGGACCTAAGGGTGAGTGAGTCTTCAGGTTTCTGATGTCTGCAGAATTAGATGATTATGCCTTGTTGTTGTTGTTGTTGTTGTTGTTATGTGCCGTCGAGTCGGCCCCAACTCATAGCGACCCCTCCTTGGGTTTCCGAGGCAGTATCACTACGGAAGTAGGATTGCCCAACCTTCCTTCCGAGGAGTGGCTGGTGGGTTTGGACCACCAGCCTTCTGGTTAGCAGTCAAGCGCCTTAGGCACTATGCTACCAGAGCTCCCTATGATTATGTCTTAGGCTCTAGGAAGCTTGGGAGAAATTATTCAAAGGAGAAAAGAAGAAAATCTGTATTTTGAACTGTATCTTTGAATAAGTAGAGAGTTCAAGAATATGTTATCTAATTTATAAAGAACAGGGGTATTAGAGAAATTTGAGAGGCTTGGAGATTGTGAGGCTGATATACAGGAATAAGGAAAATAGTCGTAATGCTACCAGAATTTCTCTTCATGATCTGAGTGTATGAGTGAACATTAATCAAGATTGACTGGAAGGCTGGACTAGATGACCTTCAGTGCCCTTTCAGATGTTAAGATTCTATGTTGTGTATAAGACAATATATCATAATTTTAAATTCTGTATAATTTTAATTTATCTTCTGTAAGCTTAGGTTTTATTACATTTGTTCTTGAAAACATAAACTTAAGAAAAATTAGCACTAAGAAATTTAACCTCACACCAAGGGTAATAGAGATACTAAGTATAATAAGGCTTGCCATGTTAAAATAGTTGAAAACATACTTAACTGTGAAGTAATCATCTGTGGAACTATTAGGAAATAAACCTCAAGAAATCAGTGTCTGTGCTGCTCGATGGGTAGGATATTTGGCTGTTTTTCAGAAGAAATGTCTTGATGGAACATTATTAAGTACCTAATCTCTTAAGTTAGAATTTTCTTTTTTTCTATTTGAGTCCTACTTTGGGTAAAGCCTTGGCTTGTGAGGCTGAATGCTCTAGCTGCTCCAGGAAAGAGCTCAATTCCAGGAAGGAAAAAAATTACATTCTAGTACCAGTCACTGACAGTTACGTGCCCTTCAGTAGCTTATTAAACCTCTCTGGGCCCAGTGTTTTAAAATCTGATTTTCTTAGTATTTGGTAAATTAATATTTGCCTTTCTGTGACATTTTATAGTTATTTAAATGGCTACTATACATACATCATCTTCAGTTGATCCTCCAAACTGAAATGTTTAGATACCAAATAATAGATTGCAGAAATGGTAAGAGTACTCTCTTACCCAGCACTGTTGAGGAGTGGATGTTGTGATGTTATATATAATAGTAATTTTGTGTTGAACATGAACTGAGCCTTTTTTTGATAGTTCAGTATGTTTTAGTGCTCACAATCATCATCCTGTATAGATTTGCTGTCAGGTGGAGAGGATGTAAATGATCATCCACGGTTAAACCTCTGCTGTGTCTCACTTGTCCCTCTCAAGACCCATCCCCAAAGGTGCTTCACACTGCCAGGTACTTCAGTTAAATCACGGAAGAGCTAACTCAGAAATTTGTATTAATAGACAATTGGTTAAATCAGTTTTTGCTGCAGTTATCTTTCTGATTACATGTTTCTGAGTAGTCTAAATTCCTTGGTTGTTTGAGGCATATTTTAAAAACTGGTTCAAAACGTGGTTTAATACCTAATGATTTATTATTCAGGTGAAAATTAAACAGTAAATCAGTAAACAATAACAGAAAAATCACTTCCTTTTACATTTAGTGTGACCAAAATGTAGTAAAACTCATTTCATTTTTAGGCACGACAAACATGTTTTTGGTTGTCTTCCCCTCCAAACCCATTGCTCCCTCAGCTTTCACAATGCCAGTAGTTCCAAGATGGTAGTTCTATTTTCCAGTTGCTCAAACCAAAATCCCTGAGTCAGACCTGATTACTTTCTTTCTCTTTCATCTATCCTTAGCAAATTCTGTAACCTCTTCCCATCAAAATACTATATAGCCTGACACTATGGGAGAGAGATCCAATAGAGCTACTACCTCAGGACCATAGTACTGGGGTACACCAGACTCAATTGGCACAACAAAATACATAAAAGCGTTGTTCCACATCCTACATTGGTGAGTAGCAACTGGGGTCTTAAAAGCTTTCAAACAGCCATCTAGGATGCAGCTAATGGTCTCCTAGTGTCGGAAGTGAAGAACAACGCACACACACACAAAAAAAGGGCATTTAGAAGCAATCAACCCTAGGACACGATGGCCCTTGAGACCGGAAGAGCTGGATGGTGCCCGGCTACCAATGCCAACCACTCAGGAAAGGATCAAATCTGGAGATCCTGGATGAGTGGGAGGGAAAATGTGGAACAAAATCCAAAAACTCAATAATGACCAGAATTACTGGTCAGATGAAGTCTGGTGAGACTCCCAATACTATGGCCCTGAAATACATTCGGCGCCTGGAATAAAATTCATCCCCAGGGGCAGGCTCTCAGCCCAATAGTTAACAAGATGTACATGCAGACCACTCAACCCAGGATGCCGCACCTACACTCAATGGTAATACATCCCTTAGAGCAATAGACCATGGGACATCAAAGGACCAACATTCAAACTGAGAAAATGCAGGACAGACAGGAGTACATAATTATGAGGGACACAGGGGGAGGGTTGCAGCGTTAGGAGGGGAGGAGACTGGGTTAGGGTTGGACATGGCAAATGGGGAATGAAATTAAATGTATGCATGACGTTGAATGTAAAACAAGCTCTTAAAAAAAAAAAAATACTATATTCAGAATCCAGCCATGTGTCACCAACTCTACTTCTACCCGCTCTGGTCCAGGCCATCATCACCTGTCTCCAGGATTACAATCATAGTCTCTAACTAGTCTCCATGCATCTACTCTTGTCCCCATAATGATGTCTGCCCAGCACAGCACTCAGAGCAATCATCCTAAAACAGATTAGGACATGTCACTCTTCTCTGAACCCTCCATTAACTTCTCTTGTTTAGATAAAAGCCAAAAAGTCCTTCTAGGAACCCATAATTTGGGTCCCCACAGTTTTTCCCAGACACCTCTCTGATCATTTTGTTTATTCTCTCCCTCTGGTTTACTACACTCCAGCCATACTGGCCTCTTTGTGTTTCCTCAGACATGCCATGCATGCTCTTGTCTCCCTAACTTGGCCCCTTTACCTCCCCCATTCAAATAATTTTGCTTCCATGTCATCTTTTCAGTGCAGCCTTTTGACCTCCATGAAAATTACAACCCCATGTCCCAGTATTACATTCTTAATCCCTTTTCGTGGTTTATTGCTTTCCACAGTCTTTCATGCCATCTGACATAGGATGCCTCTTACTTGTTTGTATGCTAATTGTTTATCCCTCAACTATAATGCAATCTGAGGGCAGAGAGTTTTGTTTGTTAGTTTACTGCTGCATCTCTGGCATATACAGCAGTGCCTGACAGGTACTCAATAAATATCTGCTTGAAGAGTAAAGTTAATGAAAATTTTGTCCTTTATAAGGTAATAAATAGTTAATGCAAAATATATCCTAAAGATCATTTAATTTATTTGAATCTCAGTTTTCCATTGATTTTTATTTTTTTTATTCAGGTTCCAGTTAACTATGAGTTCTTATACTTTCAATAGATAAATTCTTCTAATTGGAGTGACATGGAGAGTGAACCAGTAGCAGTAAGCCAGTCATTTCTTGGTTAGGCCCCTGCTAGCATATTGGTGGTCACATCCCTTCCCATTCTGCTCTCCATTGGCAGAAAGATGCCAGGATGTCTGAAAAGCTCCTATTACTACATCTGCTGGCATTGCTAACCACCTCTGGTTGGGGCTGGGGTCAAGCTTGTTTCCTAAACTAATGATCACCATGGCGTTCCTTCACTTGCTTCTAGTACTTTTTTATATTAAACATTTTAATCCAGCTGGAATTTGTTTACACAGACACTGCCAGTGAGATTAAGAGTCTTAATTTATTCTAAGTTATTTTTTAAATCCAGAATATAATTTATTAAATAATCCGTATCTCACCTATTTTGAGTTGTGCCCTTTACATAGGTATGTGTGTATGTCTACACACACACACACGTATGTTGTGTGCACACATACTTGTGTTTCTAGATATTCTGTTTCACTCTTTTGAGTGGTCTTATTCCTGTATGAGCATTATATTTTACATAGCTTTTACAAAACTCTGGTCACATAATACCCCTGTCTAAAACCCTTCATGATGCCTTTTCTTTGGGATAAGTTTGGATAAAGTCCAAGCTAACATAGCTTAGTTGCTTTATGATAACATTTTTCAGCAAGATACTAACCAAACATCTGGTTAACCTTTAGCTAATAACTCTTAGCAATTTTTTTAGTTCATGGCAGTCTTGCCACCTCAAGATTCTTGTCCTCAAGATTGGCATTTATCTTTTATTTATTAGTGGAAGGAAATGTTTATTTGTGTTAAAGTGCTTCTCAGATTTTAATGTGAATACAGATCACCTGGGATAGTTCATTTGCTAAGTATTTATGGCTAGTTCAGCTCAAATGCCCTTACTCTGATTAAGGTTTATACCCTACTGCCTGGAATTTCTAAGAACCTTTTACCTTAGTGATGAGGGCAAGGTTTATCATTTTTACAAGTATTCTGATCTGTGCCTGACAGTGAATAGAGAATGAAGAGCCCAGATTTGGGAGGTGACTAATTCTTCTGAGTAACCATTATAAAGAGCTTCCTAATACATTAGTTTTTTTCTTTGTGCAAAGGAAAAGAGCGTTCATGGTGCAATGGTTAAACACTTGGCTGCTAACTGAAAGCTTGCAGGTTCAAAGCCACCTGCTGCTTCACAGGAGAAAGGTCTTCTCTGTCTTGCAGAGTCGCTATGAGTCAGAATTTACTTGACAGCTTTGGGTTGGGCTGGTTAGTATGCAAAGGGATTCTCCAATAAGACGAAAAAGTTATATAGTTTTTTTAAAAAAAAAAAAAAAAGTATAGTTATATAGCAGAGCTTCACTGAATACAGTAAGCCATGATATTCCACCAAAAAGGTTTGTGATGAAAACAAATTTGAGAAATGCTGAATAATGTAGTGCCCTCTGGGAGAGTCATAGAGCATTTAAAATATGCTAAGAACTCGCACAGAATAGAAGGTCCATGAACTTCTTTGAGTCTGGCTTTTCCAAGAGTTATTGTGGAATTCCCACTTAAAAAAAAAAAAACGAAGCACCCCACAAAATTCACTTTGGGAAATGCGGTCATATTATGGGTCTCAGAGATGGAGGGAATTACAGCACGTGATTTGATCCATTCTCCTTTTATATTTTATAAATATGGGAGATTAACTCGACTCAGGATTGTTTGGCTAGTTTAACTCTTAATGCATAAGCTGCTATATTATTTTGTTTTAATTTTTGTTTTTGCATATCTGATTTAGGATGAGGCCATTCCTCTTTCTCATTAGATACTCAACTCTGTTTTAAGAAACCTTGAAATAAAGTTCTATTATAAAGACCCGTTCTCCTCCCCAGATGTTTGTCATCTTGTCCAAACCCTTGATCTACATTGATATCCCCAAAAATAAATCCTCTTATGTCTGATGTGCTGCCTTTCTTAATGTCAGAGGTTTACAGTATAAAGTACTAAGTGTACATAGTACATTGTACATCCTAGAAAGCTACTGGTGATGGAAATAGGAAAATAAGTAGATAGATGAAAAGAGCAGAAGGAAGGGAGGAGGAGGGGAAAGAAAGAATTGTGAGTTAATTGATAGTCATGGAGTTAAAGGCTCAGTGTATTATATATTCAGTATTTACTATCAGTTACTGTCTAAAAAGTTGCATCATTTACACAGTTTTGAAAAGTATGTCATCTTTCACAAAACAATGTCATCTAGACATTAGACATTATAACTACCTATGAAATACTACTGAGTAGATTTCCACATAAAGTGTGAAAAGATCAGCCACGTGAAGTGTGAAAGAGGACAGACTCTAGTTCTGGTGTTGGATAATCCTAGTTCATCCCAGCCTTAACTTGGCAAATGTGAGGATTTTTATAACTATTTTAAGAGTCTGTTCATCAGCAACCAAGTTTTTTTTAATTACTTTTAAGTCCTTTCATGGTTGCTGTGCAAAGCTAAATTGAGAGTATGTGAACTATCTCATAGGCCTTGAAATATGCAACCCTGCGAGTATAATTTAAGGAGCCCCGTTGGTGCATTAGTTAAGCACTCAGCTGCTAACCAAAAGGTCAACAGTTTGAATCTACCAAGTGGTTCCACAGGAGAAAAGACCCGATGATCTCCCCCCGTAAAGATTACAGCCTGAGAAACCCTCTGGGACCATCATTCTACTCTGTCATGTAGGGGTGCTATGAGTCAGAACCAACTCGACGCACACAGTAACAGCAGTATGATTTATTCACACAGTTCTTTGTATATACCTTTCCTTTGAGAATGAATATTTTAGTTAATCTACTAGTTGTATAAGGAGCTCTGGGGCACAGTGCCTAAGGCATTTGACTGCTAACCAGAAGGGTGGCAGTTCAAACCCACCAACTGCTCTGCGGAGGGAAGGTGGTACAATCTGGTTCAGTAAAGATTTACCTACCTCCTCAGAAACCCAATGGGGGTCACTGTAAGTTGGAATCGACTTGATGGCAGTGAGTCTGGTTTTGCTGGACTAGTTATGTATCTGTTGTTGTTGACATCAAGTCATTTCTGACTCAGGGCACCCCCATGTGTGCAGAGTCGAACTACTCCATAGAGTTTTCAAGGCTGTGAGCTTTTGGAAGCATATTGCCATGACTGTCTTCTGAAGCCCCTCTAGGTAGGTCCAACCCACCAACCTTTGGGCTAGTATTCAAGCATTTAATTGGTTGTGCCACCCAGGGACCATTAAGTTAAACACCTAGGGGTAGAGAGTGAGGACTGGAAGGAGGGGCTTGTAACATGGGGTCCAGAGCTACTTTTCCGATAGATTCCTACAACTAAAGCAGTCACTACCCCACCCACTCAGCAGAACATCATTGTGATTCCTTCTGCCCCCTTTTGACACAGCAAGGTTTTGGAGCAAGAAAATACAGCTCCTGCTGACAAATATGCTTAGTAATCATTTCTGAGGCGCCATTATTTTGACTGTGACTCTTTCCACCCCCACTGTCACACACATGCATGCACACTTAGCAAGACAACTCAATTGTATTACAACTTTGAGCAAATCAGAATTTCCAAATACAGCTTGTCTTGGCTGCTCCAGACCTGAGGTCAGTAGCAGGTTATGACAGAATTTGAAGCAGTTTTGTTCGGCTAAATACAGATCCACTTCAAGACGTTTCAAATGAATTTTATGGCAAATGCGTTAGCCATGATTAGCAAGAAACAGCCATTTGTTGTACTGCTCTCCTATCATTTAAGATTTGAGTATTTTATCTTTTATTAAATTGTAGAAATACATGCCTTATACAGTCTTTGAATATGAATTCAGTTATTGCCTTAACAAAAACTTTGAAGGAATTTTATGAGAATTATAATAATAAGCCTCTAATCTATTTTAACTTATAAGATTCTGAATTTTTGCTAACTGCCACATACAGACTAATGGAGGGAGAGAAAAAAAAATACCTCTTCCCTCCCCTTACCCCCCCGCCCCCCAAAAATTGGCAGACAGAGAAGAAATGTAAACTTGTGGGATGAATCTCGTAGAATAAAGTATGTTTTTGCCTTTTTAAGTCAGTGGTAAAAAAGGCTATGTCTTCACTTCTGAGGCTTCTCTTTAACCTCCTGAAGTCAAATGCATGTTCCCAACAAGATGTCTCCCATCTAGTTTTTTCTTCTGTATTCCTCATTTCCATGCTTCTCTGAATTCATTGGTTGTCTCACCTTACACCCTTACACACTGCTCCAAAAATGAGGTAGTGGTACAGTACCTAAGGTTACCACACCGCGTCTTGCTTTGGTTTACCTGCATTATTGGGCAGTTTCAGGGAAAGCAACCATTTCTGTCTTGATTAACAACAAAGACATTAATAGAAAAAAAGAAGCACTTAGTGAAATATTGTCTCTTTCCACCTAAAGTCCTCATGCTGACTGAATGCTATTTGGGGTTGGCATAGTTAGACAAGTTGTGATAGGCCAGAACTTTGGGACTCTTCAGAGGAAAAGAAAAGGTTGACAAAGGATAGCCCTGCTGAAGAACATGCCCTACAGTCTGTCAGTGAAACTCTACAGAGAATCAAAGGGTAATAACCTCTAGGAAGAAACTGCTAAAGATCTTTTGGGAAGATAGTTCCTAAAATGTTATTTTAAAGGCTACAAATACATTCATTTAATTTTTGCCTACTTAAATCACTCACAAAATTGATCTGTTAAGAAGCTATTCTGGAATGTTAGATTTATCCTGGTACTCTGCACCTCACATATTTTTTAAGGATCCAAGTTGAGGGAGGTATGCAGTAAACTCACATACGCATAATTTTGAAGTAAACATTATGCTTTGTAGTTCCATTACAATTAAAAGAATGTTTATATTTAATAAGTATTGAGCATGCTATTGAAAACCAAGATTTGGGGACAATTTTTTTTTAATGTTGTTAAACCATTAGAGAAAGCAGGTTTACAAATGAATCTGCTCAGTAGTAAATGTTTTTCGTCATGATTGAATTTATTCCTCAGGCATTTACTGAGTGGCTGCTATGTGCCAATTCTGGGCCTTTGTTTATTAAGACTGCAAATATGAATAAGATGCAGACTCAAGGAGATCACAGTCTAATACTATTAAAATAGATAATGAGACTAAGACTCTAATCTGAACAATGTAAAGAACTTAGCCTAAAGCAGAAAACAGATACCTGATAGGTGTGCAGAGTTCCACGTCCTCTTGGAGTTCCAGGCTCCTTGAGCATCATTACTTTCACATGGTAGTTGGCGAGGAGATCTAGGAGAAATTGATCCAGGAAGGGATTGAATAAAGGGCATGCCCACTGTGTGCTAAAGAGTGAGATTTTCACCAGAACTTAATATTTGGAGATGAGATGGAAAGGGTAGGCCACCATTTGGATGAAAATTTGCAGAATATTAAATAAAACTCCTATCTGCATGGTAAAATTACTTCAAGCTAAATTTTACCAATCACTGTTCTTAAAATATTTTTTTTTTCCAAAAAAAATAATGACCATATTCTTAGAAAGTGTTTACTTGAAATTAATCGTGTTGACTCTTATGTTTGACGTTACCATATTTTAAATGATCAGTTTTAAATATGTGTCCAGTTGTGGATGCCTCTTATCTGATGAGTTCATCTCCTCCGCAGTTTCGGTGTCTGAACTGCTCAGCTTCGCAAGTCTGCCCTCAGGATGGCCCTTTGTATCAGGTAAGAGGCACTCACGGCTGTACATATGACATAGTAATGCCACACGTGATTGCTTTCATCCCAAACGCACATGTCTCAGACATGTCACTTTATAAAGTTAATATTTATTTGAGCTACAAAACTTGATTTTTTTTAACCTATGCCCCTCAAGGTTTCCCATTACTTTAGTTCCTCTGAATTATCCATTTACTTTTTCAGAAGTAAATAATTAAATTATAAATCGTAAGACTGTTATTTGTTAGTCAGGTATTTTTAATAACTAGTTTCATCCTTTTGGAAATCTCTGATTCATATTAGATTGGAATGTTACCTTCTCTGTGTGTTAAAATTTTATGATGACTCATTCATTAATAGCAGCAGCAGTTACAGCTAATTGTGAGCTTGCTTCCCAAGCTCTCCCCTAAGTACTTTACTTCTATTAACCTCTTTTTAATAATGAAATGATAGGGAAGTAATTTAATAATGCACTGAGAAAATTTAAGCTTAGATCCTGATGAAAGTTACCTAATGAAAATATAAAAAGTTGGAAACCAGAAGGAGACCAAGTATTGTTTAGTAAGAATTACTGTTGGGGACGAGAGATGAGCTATGATCAACTATAATCTCTTGGGTTAATTATAGCATTTCTTTAAAATCTACATTGATGTTTTACTCCCCAAATTAAGGTAGTCCTCATCCTTCCTGCTTTGGAGCTAAGAAAGAAGAATTGTAATTACGTAACAAACTTAACTAGCAAACTTGCCTCCAGTATGCAGTTCTGGGTACTTTATTTTGAGACAGGATCAAACGAATGCAATCACAAAAGTGTTTGATTAGCCCTTTATCTAGTAGTTCCCTCAGTTATATTGTCAGTGCCTTCATTAAAATTCGTTCTTTAGCACACTTGTTGTAAGTCTTGGTTTTTCAACAATGAAGTTAAGCAGATTTAACATCTGTAAAGGCCAAGAGGAAACTACTTAGGGGGAAATAAAACCTCTTTCTCCTTGTATTCAGTTAAGAGTAAGAAGTGAGTAAATAATTTAACTGAACTGGTAAGTTTTGTGTGTATCTGCACTCCATAGATGTTTCACTTGCTTTGAGCTTCATAGCTGATTGCGGATGGTGAACTGTAATGATGCCCCTGCCATGTAGTTGGAACTAGTACATTGCTTTTTCCTTGTTCCTTTGGTATTGATGTCTACTTATGTCCTGAAAAATAGATATTTTTAAAAATCCTGATCAGAAGTATTAGAAAACTGAAATAAGAACACATTTTCAAGAATATATATATGATTTTTTTTCCTACCTTCAGCATTTCATTATAGATTATTAGCCCTGTAGGAAAAGTAAATTTGTAGCTAATCAGAAAATTTCAAAGGACAAAATAATCACTTTTGTATTGCAAGAAAGTATGTGTACTTTATACTATTAAATTTTAAATTTTTGTGAACATTTCCTGCAGTGGACAGTTATGTTATCTAGGAAAATATCATTGGACTAAAATTTGCCTTGTAAGAAAGAAAACTTAAATCATTAACTCATGAAAGGCATTGTAAAAATTATTAAAAGAATTCCATCCTTAAAGGATGCATAATTTTATGGTCACATTCTCTATATTTTTAAAGAATAGGTCATACCCCTACTACACAAATTATTTTAAATCATTGAAAAAGAATGAATTATTTCTAATTCATTTTACAAAGTTAACATAATCATGATATCAAATACTGGCAGAGAACCAACAGTTAGAAAACTAGCACCAAATCTCATTTTGAATATAAATACAAAAACGATGAAGTATTAGGAAACTGATTCTAGAAATATACTGAAAGAATGACAAACGAAGACCAAACGGGATTTTTATCAGGAATACAAAAAATAGCTTAATATTGGATGAAATATACGTATTATAAATATGTATTTTATACATGTACACACTCTGACCAAAACCAAACCAAAACCACTGCCATCGAGTTGATTCCAGTTCACAGTGACCCCCATTGGGTGAAAGGAGATTGCCCAGTCTTTCTTCCGTGGAATGGCTAGTTCAACACCAACCTTAAGGTTAGCCTTAGGCACTGTGCCACCAGAGTATCAAAAAAAAAAAAAAAACTTCACTGCCGTCAAGTCGAACCCCGACTCATAGCAACCCTCCTTGGATTTCCAAGGCGATATCACTACGAAAGTAGATTGCCCAACCTTCCTTCAGTGGAGTGGCTGGTGAGTTTGAACCACCAGCCTTCTGGTTTGCAGTCAAATGCCTTAGGCACTATGCTACACTCTAAATCAAAAATCTAAATAAAAAAAACTCATCAGATTTGAAAAAATTCAATGCTAAGACCTGATTTTTCCTACCAGTTTTTAATTTTGTAAGTCTTCAAAACAGCAACAAAAAATAATATTCTTTACCTTGATCACCAATTACAGTTTTGGCACATTTTCCGCCCCCTCTGTTGCCCTCTATTCCTCTTCTCCACTCCTTATTATCTCTCTGTATAGCTATTGGGGTGTGTGTGTGTGTGTGTGTAACCATTTGAAAGTAAATTGCAGAGATCAGGACAGTTGACCATTATTTCCTGAGACAAAGACCTTCTCATATATAATCAAAATACCGTTTGACACACAAAACATTAAATAGTATTTTAAATATTATAACAATACCAGTTCTCCTCAAAGTTAAATTACTGATGTTTTATGCAGTTCCAAGCACACTTTTACCAGATTCTTGTTTAACTTGACAAAGCCAATCATTCTTCATTTAATCAGGAAATAGAGGAATAGGTGCTTCTGGTCAGAGTCACATCTTTAAAATGAACAATGGAGGACACTTTTACTGTCACATTGTCACATACAAAATATTTTCAAGCTAGAGGAATTAAAATAGAATATTAGCTTAAACATAGATTTATGAATAAATGGAATAGCTCAAGAATAGATTATATACGAGTATATATAAAGTAGCTTTCAAAATAGTAGAAACAATTCATTGAACAGGTATCTGTTGAACAGTTCACAACGTGCTGGACACTCTTCTGTTGTCATTAAGGTGCCGTCAAGTCAGTGCCAACCTGTGTACAACAGAATGAAACCCTGCCGGTCTTGCACCATCCTCACAGTTTCCTCAGAATTGCCATCCTCAGAACCGTTTAATTCTAGGCTCTACCAAAAAAACCCACTGCTATCAAGTCGATTCCAACTCCTAGCAACTTCCGTTGGGTTTCCAAGGCTGTAAATCTTTGCAGAAGTAGATTGCCTCATCTTCCTCCCGTGGAGCAGCTGGTGGTTTTGAACCGCTGATCTGGTTAGCAGCCAAATGCCCTACCTGCTACACCACTAGAGCTCCTTTCTTGGTCCTAGGAGTACAGAATTAAAAATGGAAAAAATCCATTCCCTCATGGAGCTTACAGCCTAATAAAAGTAACAGATGAAAAATTAATAAAATGTATAGTATATTAAGGAGATCTGGTGGTGTAGAGTCTAAGGCATTTGATTGCTAACCAGAAGGCTGGTGCTTCACACCCATCAGCCACTCCTCAGAAGAAAGGTTGGGCAATATACTTTCGTAGTGATGCTACCTCCGAAACCCAAGGAGGGGTTGCTGTGAGTCTGATCCGACTCGACGGCAATGCATTTGGTTAGGTTTTTTTTTTTATACATATCGTATAGTAGAAGAAAAACTAAAGCGGATCAATAGAGTATTTTCTATAAGATGGCCAAAGGAAGGCCTGTTTGAGATAGTGATTTTGATCAAAAGGAAATGAGAGAAATAGCTGTGTGAATATCTAGGGTGGAGCACTCCAGGCCAAGGGAGCATAATGTAAGGTGAGGAGCCACCTCTTCTAGTGTCTTGGAGGATTGCAAGGGGGTGGGCAGTAGAGCTGTAGTGTAGAATACAGGGTGGTGGTTAGTAGGTAAACTCAGATGTAAATGGAGTTGGGGTATAAATCATATAGGGCTTGTTTTCAGTTAAGTATGAGACTATTGGGGGGCTGGGGACTTCATTCCTTAACTTACATGGTGCACCAGTATAAATCTCTGAGGAATCAAAATCAAGACCAAACAAAAAACAATGCCATTATAAAAGATACAGAAGAAAATATAGTTGAATATCTGGTCTCAGAGTCAGGATTACCTTTCTCATTATGCTTGTGAAAGAAGGGAAAATTAAGGGTAGATGGAGTTGACTAATGTTGAAAAGTACATGACAAAAACAACATAGCCAAGGAAGCATTTGCAAGATATGAGAGAGAACAGTTTAATGTCCTTAATACATAAAGAATTCAAACAAATCTGTAAGAAAAAACATAACTTTGCATAGAAAAATGACCAAAGGTTAATGATCAGGCAAGTCATAAAAGAAGAACGCATAAACATATAAAACATATTGTTGTTGTTATGTGCCGTCGAGTCAAACCCGACTCATAGCAACCCCTCCTTGGGTTTCCGAGGCAGTATCACTACGGAAGTAGGATTGCCCAACCTTCCTTCCGAGGAGTGGCTGGTGGGTTTGAACCGCCAGCCGTCTGGTTAGCAGGCAAGTGCCTTAGCCACTATGCTACCAAAGCTCCCATAAAACATATAAACATATAAAATGATTGACTTATTTTAGAAACCAAACAAATGAGAAAAAAAATGCCGTTTTACACATATTAAATTGCCAGGTTAAGAGGGAAGAAGACAGTGCTCAGGAGAGACTGGCAGTCATTTCTTTTGAAATGTAAAAATTGAACCGATTTCTTTAAAGCTAATGTGACAGCCTGTATCAAAAAGTGTTTTAAATAAATGTATATGCTGTTTAAACCAGCAGTAACACCTCTAGGAGCTTGTCCCGAGGATAAAAAAATAGGTCACTGGGCCAGGATTAATTTTTAATAGGAAAAAAAAGCTAGAATACACTCAAATGTACAACAAAAGGAGAAATTTTCAAGTGGACAAAATTATATGTTTAGCATAATTTCAATTTTGAAAAAAAAATATATGCATGGAGAAGAATAGAAGGATATTCACTAAAATGACTGTTGTGATTATTTTTAGATGGTGAGATTTAATTCTTCTTTTTTCTTGGTGCTTTTTTAAATATTTTCCCAATCTTCTACAACAAAAAGAGTTTACTTTTAAAAATAAATTACTTTTTAAGAAGAGAAAAAAAATATATCAATCAAAGTCATTTTATAAGATTTTTATACTTGAAATGTCTGCTTTGGTTTTTGTTCCATGATGAGACAGAACTGGCAGCTCTGAAATGGGGGTCCCTTCAGAGCAGTCTCTTAATACTGAGAGGTGGCAGTGTGCCATATTTCACTGGAGTAATGATGATGCCATTTTACTTCAGAAAGCACAGAAACATGAATACTGTATTTTCAGTATTTTTATGCAAATAACACTTGCTTCCACATTTGTTTGCGCTCCCCTCCCCTAAAACCAAAACCATATCCACTGCCATGGAGTCGAAGCCCCTCACCCTAAGTAAGCACTGTAAAAAAAATATTCACGTAGTGTTACATTTACAAAAATACCTGGTGGGCAGCACAGTCGGCAAGCAAACAAAGAGGGTGCATGTTATTTGTGTAAAAATATGATAGAATTTAAAGTATATCTTAATAATTCCCAGTTTTGCAACAAATTTCAATAAAATTATTCAGCCTCATATATTGCCATAGAACAAACACAAATGGTTACTGGGTGGAGAGAGCAAAACATTTTTCAGCAAAAACTGAGAAAATTCCTAATTAAATTGTAATGTTAGCCAAGCTGTTTTACTTCCTTTTCTTCCTTCATCCCTGAAAGAATTATTGACGGATATTTTTGTATGTTATGAAGGTACTTTTATAGGAGTGACTTGGTTATTTGCAGAAAACATGCAGACTGAACAATTAGCAATGGAAAGTAAAGCTAGAAAGATAATAAAGGACAAAATGGGTGTTACAATAGGGTAGAACGAGACTTAGTAAAGTTAGGATAAGGTATCTAGGTTAGTAGGCTCCAAATCTGGCTGAGCTTCAAGGATACTCAGGGAGATTTGATGTGTGCCTTGTTCCCAGATAATCCGAGACAGAGGGAACAGAGTGAAGTTTAAAATTTAAAAAAAAAAAAAAAAAAAACAGTTTTGGACCCCAGAAGCCCTAAGCGACTGAGACTGATTCCAGCCCTTAGAAAACAGGTGGTAGCGTCTGCTCTTCTCCTTGCGCTGGGATGGTAAGCCTCAGGGTGTAGTCATTCCTACTCACCAGTCGCTCCTGAGCTGAGTAGAAAAGAAACTCCAGCACTGAGTCATCTCAGTACATGACAGAGCTCTGAGAAGTGCTGAGACGGTCATTTATAGAATCGTGCTCTATCCTTCCATCTGTGAAAAAATGCACATTCTCTGTACTAGTCTTTCACATTCACCTGCACTAAGATGAAAGGGAAGCCTTGGTGAATCTCAGATTCGTTATCAATTTGGTAAAAGTAACTCCCCAAATTTCATTTTGAAAAGGGGAATCTGGAGCTTTAAGAAAAGGAAAACCATTGGTTCTCCAGACCCCTATTGACTTCGTAACGTTTTGGTTCTGCTTGAATATGGTAACGCAGAGGGTAAAAAGGTGCGGGTAGAGTGAAAAGACTGCAGAGGTAGCCAGGCATGTGGCATGCGCCTTTTACCTGGCAGGAAGTGGTTTTCTCTGAAAGTGTGGTAGCCAGATAATATGATCCCTTTCTTACATTGTCAGAGCAAGGTGAAGGATAATATGAACCTTTCAGTTATATAATAAATTCCAATATTTAGCACTATCAACTGACTATTGAAAGGAGCCAGTGACCTAAATGTCTCATGTCACAATAAGCTGCTTGTTTTTCAACTTCTTTTTAAAGAACCACTGAAATAAATTATAAATGCTAAAAAGAAAAAAGTATCAAACTTATTTTTTTAAAAAATGTGATTTGTGAAAACGACCTTAGTTTTCCTGTATTCGTAGCAGAAGTCTGTGGCTGTAGCTGAGAATGCTCTCACGGAAGCAGCTCTGGTGGAGCCCAGCCCGTGCATGCGCAGTACGTGGCCCCGCCTCTCCCTAAGTGGTGTCCTCCTTCAGTTCCCGTATGGAACCTGTATGGTGGCACAGGCCTTTGGGTTTGACTCTGCTGCATATTATGGAAAGTTTGAGTAATTCTAGAAAACTAAAGGCAATTTAAAAAAAGAAAGTTTTAATGTTAATTGCAGTCTTAACAGTCATAATCAGTAGTACCAGGAAGTACTGTAAATTATAACCCCAAATGTTTAAAATCTTTTTTATATAAACTGTATTGTTTTCCATGTCAACATGGTCTTACTCATCATCTGTTTTTATTTTATAGTCATACCCCATGGTGTTGCAGTACCGACCAAGGATTGATTTCGGTTAGGCCAAGGGGCCTGATCCCACTGAGAGGAATCCTGCACTCTTCGTTTACTCATCGACAGATTGCACAGTGAACAGTGTGTGGACTAGAGGGACACAACCACATTTCCAGCATGCAAATAAGGCCACTGTCTGTCTCTAAATTGTCAGTTGCATCTATGTTGTTTCTATTAAGAGCAAACCAAGTGCCATTCTGCTACTGAACTGTCTGCATAAGGTATCTGTGCTGTCTCACAGTGTGCAACCCATAGTTGAAATCAGTTAGGTGTGTGGCCCTGATTCACCCTTCAGAATATTTTGCTTGCCTGTACCAAGATTGTTCTACTGTTTGATTACACTAGTAAAATGGCTCAATCTTCGTGGTGTTGCAGTTTTCACATACTTAACTATTTTATTAATTCTTGTTTAAATAGAGTACTGTACAAGAAACTAATATCTTGAAATTATTTTGTATGGGAAATATATTTAGAAAAGTGGTTTTTGAGCCACTGTCTTGTTCTTGGTAAGCTTTTTTTGTGTACAAAATAGTTCACCCTTGAGTGTGCAAATCCTTTTGCAAAGAATTCCAATTATTCTTTAACATTAGAGCACGTCGTAATTGGAGACATTTTATCTGTCTGTGTGTGTTCGTCCACCAATTGCACAAGGAAGGCACACTCACCCTCCGGATCGAAAATGTATGTGACTTTTTGGAGAACTGAAGTGAGATTCACAATCATATATATGAACTGTTGGCAGCTGATCACATTTACTTCTAATAAAATTAATGTGTGAGTAAGGTTAATCTTCTTTCATGATGCCTTATGACAAGCGGGTGCTGCTTCATGAAACTCCGTTGTACAGCCCATTTTATGTACGCATCATCACATTGTTGCTGTCATTTAATGAGGACATTGTTTCACTTTTTAAGTTGGCCTTAGGTGTGTGTCATTGTGGCCTGAGGAAGGTTGTGATGATTTTAAATATTAGGATTTTTAGAGCAGAGAACATTAGCTGTTTTATGGATTTCACAAATCTCAAAGCAATGGTGGATTAAAACTGTTAGTTACCTGTCATATTTCCAAACCATATGCGTAAAATAGAGTCAATGCAGTATAATAGATGAAAATGCTAACCAGAACCAAGGGTTTGAGGATACTTCATGTTAGATCCTATAGTAATGGAAGGAAAACAGGATTATTGTTTTGCATACACATTCATTAAGGTCAGATCTATGATATCCTTGATTTTGCAGTTTTGTTAAGTCTTCCATTCATTTTGAGACTTGTCTGCAAGTCAAAGAAAGTAAACCTCTTAAAATTTGCAAGTGTTTTCAAATATCTGAAATTAAGTTTTAATTGCTTTGAAACAAACAAGTTAACCTCTGAAACTTAGGAAAATATCTTGAAAGTTAGGGAGAGTAATTGTTTTAGAAATCTGACATGAGCACAATCTTTGTGTTGCACACATAGTTTTTATACTGTGGTAGATGTGCTACATTTTTTGAGTAAAATGGATCACAAATTAATGCCTTCTGAATATCAAAATGCTCCTTAAAAATAAAGCATTGTACAGCTCTAAGAAACACATACCAATGCAGCTAAAATCTTGATGCATTTCGTAATGTAAAAGGCCAAAACTTCCTAATTATCTTATCATTATATCTTTTTTTTTTTTCCCAACTGAAAAAGTCTATATTAAAGATTTCTTCTGTTCTGAATTTTGTGAAAAAAGGTTATGGCAATACTTTCTGAACTTTGTCCGACTGTGTTTGTTCTTGAAAGGGCTCACAAGTAGACTTTTAAAGGCAGATTTAAAAAAATCTCTTTAAATGGTTGGAACAGACCTTTACACTCAACCAAAAACTGAAGATACTATCTAGTTACAGAAAATATTTTGTTATGTGACATCCTCTTCCCTGACATTCCTAGGATACTTAATGTTTTATTATAAATTTGTCACATGTAGGTCAGTGATTAAAGAGTGTTTTACATCTTAAAGTTAATCAACTCAAAACGAATTGACTACAAATGAGAATTTGATGTTTTTGAGTTCCCAGCCAAAACTTACAGCCTTAAATGAGTTTTGTATACATTAGTTTTTTAAATGTGTCCTATTGCCCAATCATCTGTAGTTTCAATATTTTTCCAAGGAAAAATTGATGTTAGAGTTTTAATTGAAATGAATGGAATATGTGCCAAAACATGTGGAAACCACACAGAGAAGAGCATCAGTTGTCATTTGGGGAAAGGTACACAGTTATAAGTGTCCTGAGTAATTCCATGTCACTATTAGAACTGCTGGGCTGCTTCAAGTGACCTCTTCTGGTGTTTCTTAGCTATGACTTTCTACTGCTATGAACTATTTTCATGTCTAATAATCCACTGAATCCCCATGAATTTTCCCCTAAGTCAGCTTGTAGAATTTGTAGGAAACTAAGTATAGAAAAAGTGTACAGGCAACTTTTGTGGTTAACTTTATAAATTGAGGGTGCTTAAGAAGACAGATTCTTTATATAAATAACCCACAGGAAAAACCATTTGAGTCTGTAAAGTTGGAGAATAAATGAAACTCATTTTTTTCTTTAATCTGTTGTTTCTTGGCAATAAACTGAAAGAGCTTGTCTTCTGTAAACAATTTTGTAATCTGTTTTTATCTGCCTTTTAGAAATCATAGATGTAGAAGGGTCAGGGAACCGTGGATATAAAGAATGCCTGTGGTTTATAGACATCACTTTAATTGAAGAAAATCACACCAGTTTATAGGGAAATAAGAATAGGGCCTTTCTCTAAATGAATAAGAAGCTTTTAGGAAGTATTAAGAAGTATGAAAAATAAAAGGTAACATTTATTCATTCAGTCTGGGGTGGAAGTAAGTAACTTGGGCAATGTCTTTTGACTGCATTTAAAAAGTATGTTATTTCTTTATTCATTGAAAATCTATCCCACACTAAATGCCCCATTTTATAAATGTAGTACATTTGTTCCTTCATATTACCCATTCAAGTGTAACCCAAATTTAGGCTGATTTTTTTAAGGAAGAACTATGTTATATAGTATTTTGAACTGTTTAGCTTTATTGAAAATATTTAAAGAGAAAGTGCCTCATAACTAAAGTGCATTTCTGTTACAGATTTACTACATACATCTTTAGTTATCTGTACCTATCTCTTATGAATGGTTTCGTATCTAAATGGACACTCATAAATTAATCTTTCTGAAAGATTTACGTAAGAAAATAGATATCACCAAAGACATTTTACTGTTAATTATTAACCATGTCGGAGAAATGGTTGTAACAGCTTAGAGGTTGGAAAACTCACTATGTAGCTAGGCAATAACCTTGATTGATTGCTAAAATACTCACCAAAGAAAGACTTTAAACTGAATTTTCTTGGTGAGATCAGTCAAATGCAGAATTTTCTGGCAATAAGCAGAGCATACTTCCTTTCCAAATGTATTGTTCAGTGTATTTCAGCAGCATCTGACAGATCTTGGGAAATCTCAACACTGAGAAAGAGATCAACACAACAAACAGACTCCCTCTAGATGAGAAGTGAGAGAAAGAGATCTTGAAAAGAAAATTGAAATCAAGATTTTCAGTTTTAATTTGAGAAACTTTTTATTCCATAGAGGCGGTGTAAACTAAAATGACCCTTATTTTGTTCTTGGGTTCTTAGCTATATGAAAAATTGTATTAAAGAAAGGCTTTGGTAAAAGTGTTGACATGCTTACTTGTATAGACCATAGTGCATTCTATTGGACTTACACAAGTGCTTTTCCCCTATTTAAAAGAAAAATTTTCATAAGGGCCTGTTGTTTTATTTTTTCCTTCAAAAGCAACTCTTTGTCTTGTTTCTCAGCCATTACTTTATTGTTATTATAATTTATCCATAAAACCAAATTTTGCGAAGTGAGTCACAGAGCAAGAGCATATATGTCAAGAGGGAGTGACTCGCTCTCCTTCTACCCCTCTCCTTGGGGGTCCATGCTGTGGGCCACCTGAAAGGTAAAATTCAGAATCTTTCTGATAATCAGATCACTAGGTAAACCTTCCTGGATAGAATAAAATGGGTGCATACCCTTTACCATACTCTGATTTATCATTAAGGAATATTCCAGTGGGCTAAGCTTTATACCAGTAAGATGTTGGCTGGTTGTAGGATTTCAAAAATGAATTAGTTTCCTTTAACTTTGGTATTCTGCATTAGAAACACAAAAACTTGAAATGCTGTTTGTCATTGTTTTAAGGTATGTGTACCTATAGTTTGGGGAACAATAGGAACATAGTGTTTGCTAGGTCTGGTTTATGAAAAATGGAAAAACATTAGATACACTGTAGAGAAACTCTTTTGAAGCACAAAATAACCAACTATCTCTGTATTTACCTGATATACCTAGGTTCCTAGTATTTTGATGGAAAACATCAGATAGAAAAGTCATCAAAATGTACTTAAATATACATTACAGGGTATTTATATAGTTTTGTTTTTCTTAAAGCAATGGCATTTTCCAGTAATCGAAAAGTGATTTTCTTCTAGTATGACATAGTTTTCAAAAATAGTGTGCTTGCTTGGTGTCCTTATTGTATTTTCAAATAGAATTAACTGTTGAGCATTTTTTTTCCCTAAAGTTATAAACTTGAACATAAAGATAATTATTTTAAATGCACATTAAAATGTGTGTGTACTTGTTATGCCCCCTTTTCTAAGATTCAAAACTGAGACTTTCAGAAATGCTTTTTCATTTTAATTATCTTTAAATCCTGATTCAAGTGAACACATGTATGTCAAATACTAGATCTAGTTTTCTTCCATTGTATAGAGCTTCATGGAATAGGAAACTAATCTAGCAGAAATGAAGATTAAGTGTTTCTGGGTAGTGTAGAGATGGCAACCAGATGGACTTATTCATTCATATGCTTCCCATCAGTCCACTGAAGCAGGAGTTCTGCACATTAAAAATGTAATGGGATCAGCCTAAAATTGTGTGGGGTCAGTTTTCTTTTGCTGTATTTTTTAGAAAGGGGGGTGGGGGCCTAAGTGTCCTTATGAAGCTGTGGTCCAAGACAAAAGCTTGTGGGGGGAGTACCAGGGACTGCCGCTTTCCTGCATCTGGTCAACACAACAGCAAGCATCAGTTTTTAATATAGTAGCCCTCACGGTAAAGAAAAGTATCATAGACTATATTGTAAAGTTACGTTGCTAATTTTCTTTTAAAATATAAGATATTTTAAGCTTTTTGTCAAAAGTGGTAACATCTTAATACAAATAAAAACCTTTTTGTGGTTGT